ACAATGGCAGAATGCTAGGTGATTTCATTTCGAGAGAGATATAATGTTGAGATAGAGATAGAGATCGATAGAAAGAGGGAGAGACAGACAGCGGGACAGACAGATAAAAAGAGACAGAATAGGAGAGAAAGAACGATAGACAATAAGAGAACGAAAGGAGAGACAGAGACAGACAGAGCCAGAAAGAGACGAGCAGAGATACAGAGAGAGAGAGAGAGAGAGAGAGAGAGAGAGAGAGAGAGAGAGAGAGAGAGAGAGAGAGAGAGAGAGAGAGAGGAGAGAGAGAGAGAGAGAGAGAGAGAGAGAGAGAGAGAGAGAGAGAGAGAGAGAGAGAGAGAGAGAGAGAGAGAGAGAGAGAGAGAGAAAGAGAGAGAGAGAGCTCTCAGCTCTCTCTCTCTCTCTCTCTCTCTCTCTCTCTCTCTCTCTCTCTCTCTCTCTCTCTCTCTGTCTGTATTTGTCTCCCTCTCTCTGTCTGTCTGTCTCTGTATTTTGTCTCCTCTCTCTGTCTCTCTGTCTCGATCTATCCATATATTATTACTGATAATCTCCATCTCTCACTTGCTCCCCTTAGTAATATGTAGCGACTGAGATAATGGGTTAGCGAATGTTCTTTTCTTCATTGGTTTGGCTGATGTGTGCCTGTTTTGTTGTGTGAGGCGTGCGCTGTACTTCTTTCTTCCGTTCCGGAAGGAATCTTTTGGCGATTGGCGTAGTGAGTTTGCCTTTGTTGACTCTGATCAAGTAATCATCCATCAACATCAGAGTTCTATTGAGCTACTCCATCCGTTGGTGCTCAACAGAGAGTCGACTGATTGGTGAACACCAAGTCTCAGATTCTGGTCGGAATAACTAGTGTGAATGAAACAAGACATCCAGCAACAGCTGCACTGACTCTGTGTGCTAGTGAGATTGAGAGTGTGAGAGAACGGTCAGCCAACAGCAGAATACCGGAAAGTTTATTCACCGACTTTCAGATGCAAGATTGTGCGAATCCGAACTCGTCGATACCAATAGTACCGGCGTGTTCCCAATCGAAGCAACTTCATTGGCAATGGTACGCACGCAGTTGGTGTGTACCTGTGGGGTGTGAGGCGTGTGCGGCGCATCTTCTAGTCACCACTTGAATGCCTCTACTCTGTGTCTACCTACTCGCACGATACAACATAGCCATACTATGGTAGGTGATTCTATGCTGAGAGAGAGAAAGAAAGAGAGGCAAAGATAGAGACTGAGAGACAGATCGAGACAGACGGAAAGATAGCTAGCTTTTCTGAATAGACACATCACCGACCAATCTCAGGAAACAGAAATCCACCAACAAGCCTGTTAAAAGAAACTTTAGCAAGAGAGAAAGGAAGAATACGTTATTATTGAGAAGGCGGCAATTCTCTGTTTCCTGGCTGTTATATTATGATCAGTCACCACCACTACACAAAAGTCGGTGACGCTGCAAACTCCACTCAAAACTCTGCACTCACATCACCATCACCACAGCGAGGACAATTCCGGTATATAATTGATATTGACAATGACCCTCCAGGCAGCTGTTTCGCTCCTCCTGAGCTCATCAGTGGAAGCATAATATGCCGGAATTGTCCTCGCTGTGGTGTTAATGATGTGAGTGCAGAGTTTTGAATGGAGTTTGCAGTGTCAACGACCTTTGTGTAGTTGTGGTGACTGATCATAATACGTAATTATGAATTGGCTGCAGTGGAGCCTCCGTGTTCTAGAAAACGTATTCCTGGCTGTTATAGTGTGCAAAGTGCGAAGTCTCTCTCTCCTTTTCGAAGCCCCACTGCACAACCCGGCTGTGTTTCTTGCTGCAACTGACTCTGATGTCGTCACTTGGGGTTGCTAACTTCATTACTGTTTCAGTGCGATCGTTTCGGCCAGACACCAGGACTGGCAGGTTACCCCGACTGGCTAAGCGGATGAGGGGACCCGATGAAGCAGCAGCCTGTTCGCAGGCTGAGTAACCGGGTGATGATAAGGACTATAGTGGCCACAAGAGAAGAGACACAGCATAGCAGAGGGACTGTTGTAGTTGGTGACAAAATTGAAGACCCAAACGTTGGGATGAATGAAGCGAATAATCCGAAAACCAGCTGACACTCGGGCATCCAGCCAGGCTCCAGCTCACCGACCTCACTAGCAGTAGCACTGACAGTGACACTGCCAGTCGGCTAGTCTGTCCTCAGCCAGGCTGAGCCGCCAACAGTATGCATTAGGGAGTCATAAAATACCTACTATTTTTTTCGATGGCTTACCGGCATGCTGACAGTTTCAACAAAGACTTCACAAGACAGCGCGCGGTAGATTTTGAAATGAACAAATCGATTATTGATGGACTTTTAGATTTACGTGTGGAACTAAAATTATTGAAAATGGCTAGTGATATGAAATGCTGTCCGCTAGCTGGTGTGTGTTCGTAGCGAGCCTGCAGCTGGAAGGCACAACGCTGGGCTAGTTCGGTGTGAGTAGACCTGCTACTAGTACTAGGCGGATGACAACAGCAATAATCCTGTTTTCCGTAGGTACGTTGATTATGATTATGGATGTGTCACTGTGTGTAGAAAGATAAGAGTTACCAAGAACACGCTATGGGTGGATGGATGGATTCATAATTTCATCAATGGGCGCTCTGAAGATATAGCACTGATCTTGAATACCAGGGGCAGACTTGCTTATATATAGTACATGACTTTAAAAAATTACACTGCGAAACCCACATCGCTTAGCATTACATGTACGTGATCAATGTACAGTAGTCTGTATCGATACGACTCGTTAGTGTACAAGTCGTGTGCATCGCTTTAATGGTGCTCCGAGTGGGGAAAATCGGCGAAAACCTAAAAAGAGGTGCAATAATGCAATTTTGTTCATTGTCCAGCCCTACCAGGCGATCTGGATAATCGATCATCCGGATAGTTGACGTCCGGATTATCGGTGTTCTACTGTTGCTGTCCAGAGCATGAACACGTGCACTACATCATGCATTGTTTGCCACGTAAATGCATGGTGCAGGGGTGGTGGGCTTAACTGGCTACGCCTGCCTACACGTTGGTGCACCAAGACTAGGGCTGAAACGATCGTGGATTTTCAAGTATTGATTACTCTTTAGCTTAAGGGGAAGTTAAGGCAAAAATTAAAATTTCACCAGTTGTAGTCTTCGGGGTGCTGAGTCGAATGGTCGTGGTCCGAGGAAGCTGAGACGCTCCCTTCCTACTTGAATCCCAATCGAACTCGCGCACTTCCACCGAAACTGGGTGACTGCGCCCTACGAGATGGGGATTTGTATGCAAAATGTCACTAAAAGCGCCATTTCGTTCTTATAAAAGCACGGATGACCGCGATTGGCCCATATGTTGTAGTCTTTTGGACGCTGAGTCGACTGGTTTTGGTCCGAAAAGGCTGCGATGCAGCGTTCCGCCTTTATTCCCAATCGAACATGGTTGAACAAGCGGTCACGTGCTCCTGCGTACGCCAGTCACCTGGTCACCGTGCCTGCAGGGTACAACTTACTAGCCTGTTTGACCTTTTTTGGGTGCAGTCCTGTCACTCGAGTTGAACTCGAGTTGAACCTTGGTGTGAAAGATGTCACCTGCTGGCGTGGTGACCAGGTGATTTGGGCACCCAGGAGCACGTGACCACTTGTTCAACCATGTTCGATTGGGAATAAAGGAGGAACGCTGCATCGCAGCCTTTTCGGACCAAAACCAGTCGACTCAGCGTCCAAAAGACTACAACATATGGGCCAATCGCGGTCATCCGTGCTTTTATAAGAACGAAATGGCGCTTTTAGTGACATTTTGCATACGAATCCCCATCTCGTAGGGCGCAGTCACCCAGTTTCGGTGGAAGTGCGCGAGTTCGATTGGGATTCAAGTAGGAAGGGAGCGTCTCAGCTTCCTCGGACCACGACCATTCGACTCAGCACCCCGAAGACTACAACTGGTGAAATTTTAATTTTTGCCTTAACTTCCCCTTTAACGATCGAGTAATCGATTATAATCGTTAGCAAATAGAGTCATAATTCTGTGCAAACATTACTCTGTTTCCACAAACTATGCCTTCATAATACCAACAAATCTGCATTAGTGAAAGGGTAGCTCCGAAACATGGCAGTTTTGAAGTCGATTACTATTTAACCTCAGAACATGAACCATACCCCTGGCAACTGCATACTCCCAGCGGAAACTGATTCAAACTTCACAAAACGAGGGTTTACAGTACTTTCTTGACAAAAATTTAAAAAACGCAAAATAATCGTAAGGCCACAACAAAAAGATTTCGTGTTTCCGGTCGGCACCCCCCGAAAAAATACGCCCGGTCGGTCGGAAAATTATTATTTTTTGGTTTGAAAGTTTATTTCCCTGCTGTATTCATAGACATGAGCCAAATTGAGAAAGTTTGGATCAGACACTGGTGATACACAATATATACATATTTACACATGGAATATGGAGTAGAATACCACCGCGGGACGCAGTAGATGTATTGCATAGTTCAGAGATTTCTGAGAATTGTATGCAATACCAATGGGTCAGCATCAATAGACGCATAGTACTGACATTGACACAAAAACATGCCTGCACAAAATTGCACGCACACTACATATAGTACTACTAGCTACGTCCACCAAGCGAAAATCCAGGAAACGGCATCCAAATTCGACAACAAGGCCGACAGTTTCAGTTATCTCTACATCTTTCCACGTTCCTGCCCCACCATTGCTGCTTGCTGTAGCTGCGACAATCCACTCTAAAGACGTGACGTCCTCAGGCAAGCGAGGCTGCACTTCCTCACAAAACAACTCCTTCAAGGTGGTTTCATGGGAGACGCGAACTATCCTTTGCTGAAGAAGACACTTCGCACCCCGCCAGCACTGGACACAAAGCGGGCTGCTCTGAGCAGCCATCGTCAGCACTGGACACAAAGCGGGCTGCCCTAAGCAGCCATCGTTCTTGGCGACCTTTTCTCCAGCTCCGGAATTTTCGTCTCTGCATTCAGTCAAACGTTTATTTCGGTTCGAGCAAAGCAACACAATGCTTTCAGTGTTTTTGCTTGTTTTTCTTTGTTTTCTTGTACTTGTCGTAAACCAAAAAAATTCCATAATTTTTGAAAAAACGGACCCGGTCGGCCGACCGGAAACACGAAATCTTTTTGGTGTGGCCTAATCAGTAATCTAAACGATTGCTCGATCGTTAGAGTTATCAAACGAGTACTCGATTATTCGGTAATCGTTTCAGCCCTAACCAAGACCCTTCCGTTATTGGAAGATAGGCAAGCATACTGTGAATCTGAAAATTTTCGGTGCATTCAAATTTAGACCTCCCAGGGCTGAAACGCATTTCGGCCGCATGAAATTTTCGGCCTGGACTGCTGCTGCCTGTATACACAGAACCTTGCAAAACAAAATTTTGACCGCAACAAATTTTCGGCCGAAAATGCCCAGGCCGAAAAAGCCCAGGCCGAAAATACCCGAAAATAAATATGCGCCGAATATTTGTTCACCTACAGTACTACATTTCCTCAATCGTCACTGGCACTTGATTTCCAGCCGCATCCACTTTTTCAGGTCTGTCTTATCATTTTAGAAACTATTATTATCCTTATGCACTTTTTGTATGCACTTCAGTGGTAAGGCATGCTTAGCTGTAAGGTGCACTCCCATCGCTGGCCCTGGAGTTTAGTGTAAAACGGTGTGACTTATATTTGAGGAAATATGGTAACTTTGGTAACGAACGTGTTACTTTACAGTGGTGTGGCACGTGTCATGGAACATCGATTCACTGATAAATCGCCCCGCTGGTTATTGTTCTCAAAGGGAATTTTCGCCATATGAGCTACCTTGCCCATCCCTGACCATGTCCTGATTTTGTTTAGTGTCCTTGACTTAGTTACAAGTAGATCAGTTCCGATGGTGAGGTTCGTCTCTATAGCTAGCTTGGAACAGGGCCAAATTGTCCACCCTCGCATGTGATATCGCTGGACTGAGTCACTTTTGCAATCGGCAGGTCAAGGGAAAAATCCCGAACTGCATAGACTACGTATGACTTAGACTAGTGACTACCAGACTCTGGGGTTGAAATGCACACCGTTCCGGGCACTCTGTTTGCATGGTGTCTCCCTGATGGGCATGACTCCCCGGTCTGCACACTTTCAAAACACGGCTGTAATTTTTGTTCGAATATGTAGCTGACACTGGATAGCTTGTTTTGTTTTCAACTGAAGAGTGCAGATACACTCGGACGTCTCTTATCCGGGCACCTTGGGGCCGGGCACTCTCCGTATCTCAGATTGGCCCGTATCTCAGGATAACTCATCTACTATGTATCATATCATTTTTGAAAAAGTATATTTGGCACGTATTGCACATGTACATGTTACAAAAAGAATCCGTTGATAAAATGTGTGGATTTCACAGGTTGGCAGGGACAAATATGCACTTGCGCATACGAAAAAGGTTCAACCCCCGAATTCAAAGAATTGTTTCCATAGGAACTCAAGCTGAAGGCGCCCGGTAGAGAGACGTGCCCGTATCTGAGGCGTTCGGATAAGAGACGTTTGAGTGTACATGTCATGTAGTATACATCATGTACTTGTGTGATGTGTGCTTCTGCTGATAGCACCAAGTAGCAGCTCATGGTCATGACCACCTCTCCGCTGAACGTCTCGGATTTACGAACTCCGGCTGTATCTCACCACCATGTACTGCCATCTTTGGTGAGTTGTCATTCAATGACCGTTTAGAGCTACGGATCTCTTGTGTATGGGCATGGTATGTCGATAGTATGCATCAGCTCTGTGGGACCTTCAGTAGGCCGTTTCCCTGCGGCAGTCAATGGAGAAGGGGATTTAAACCAGAAATGGCCATAAATCTAGGATCTGTCAACTGATCTTTTTTGTATACTTCATCAGCGGATGTTGTCGTGGAAGCATTCCTAAGAGTTCTTTTCCGAAAGAATGGCCTACGTGTGAAGCGTTCTACGGCTTCTATAAAGGATTGTTAGTACTAGTGGTGGTGTGTGATGCAAGCAGTGTCATAGGTGAGCCGTGATTGCCACAATGAGGACTTCCTGGCTTCAGATGCGGGCCGGATCAGATCCTACACCAGCGCCTGTTCTTCTGGAGTGCCATCACATTTACTTTTTAGTTTTGGGTGTATTCTAAGCAATACATGGCTGGGGCAGCCAATGACCAATTTTACATGGCTGGGGCAGCCAATGACCAATTTTACATGGCTGGGGCAGCCAATGACCAATTTTACATGGCTGGGGCAGCCAATGACCAATTTGCATGGTGATTGCAAGGTGTTTTTAGCCAACCACGGCTAACAAGGAAAAGAAACTGAAGTCAAAAAGAAGTCAAAAGGAAAAAGAGAAAGAAGAAAATATGAACTAAAATGACGGTCTAAAGCAAGACTTTGAACGCTTTGGACTTTACTAACCCCACCCTCAAACCGTGCTATGTAGCGGTGTGAGGCAATGTGCTATTGGGATTCCAGCTTTTAAAGGGGCACTCCGGCTTCATTTTCGACGCCGAGTTTTCGATGCCAAGACGAAGGTAGGTGAAAGAGAAGACCCCTCGAACAAGAACGAGTCTCCAGAAGCGATCGAGTCGAGCAGGAAGACGACTTTTGAATTTCGCCGAGCGAGCGCTGATGACGTAATGAGGGATTAGCTTGCCAGTGGAAATGCATCTGCGCACATACATTTCACATACTTTTTGGCCAATTTTCAATCGAAGAGGAGGTTGTTTTCTATGTTCTCTCAACGTCGTGAGCAATCCCGTCTTCTATACCCTTCCAGGTACCCTCAAGGTCCTCCAGAGGAGAATTTATCTCCAGCGAAGCGTTGTTGATCCGCTAAATTCGTCTTGAGACATATTCACCCAGTGCAGTGCTGATAAATGTAGAATGTTGAATCTGTGATAATTGTCGACGATGGAGAGAGAGGTTGATAGCCACTGTCGCAGGGAAAGTGAAGCTGCTGGAAGTAACAACGGGGAGCTTGTTAGCATCACATGTGCATCCAGACTTCAAAGCAGCTTGACGGAATCGGGGAGTACTGACTATTTGTCTCGCCCTCAGTTTAGTGAATTTTACGACCAGAAAATTATTCGATCAGGATCCCTTCTATAAGATGTGTAGTACAGGTGATTTCTGAACTTGACGATATGGAGACCGACCAGTAGACCTACCAACATTGGCAACAACGTGTACCTGCGGGAAATTCACCCAAGGCTATTGCTATCCTCTTCAGTGGCTGTTGTTTTTTAGTAAAAATATGTTCACAGGCTTCTCTCAACATACTCCTGCATGGCAGCAAGAAGGTGCGCTATGGAATTCAACGCCACAATCTTCGCCCAGCTGTGGATGAAGCATGGTCAAGTCATGGCAGTACATATACTTGAAACAGATGAGAAATTGAAGTTCATTTTGTGATGGGAAGTTTGACAGCCCCAGTGACCGAGTCAAGCATTGTCTTTTGCCGTGGCACAAGTTGCTGAAGAATCCGAGATGGTCTTGGAACTATGCACATGGATACTACCAGAAATAATGGTGGCATAAACCATTGTGGAATGGGACAGCTCACGGAGAATACTGGAATAGCTCAAGTATCTCTAGGTGATTGTAAATCCTGTTCTGGCTGATAGCTTCGGCCTGCTGCGCCCATCCGTGTACAATGATGGGAACATGCATTTCTGTTTTCTACATATTTGCTGGCTACTGTACTGTGGTATTACAGTTGCAGGTCCCTTATATAAAATATATGTTCAACCCCCTCCCACATTATAAATATGAACTAACAATTTCACTGTTGGACTCGCAGGCGGCTAGAGAGCAAAGGATTAATTTATAGCAAAGAAAAGGACCAGGGAACTACAAGTAAATTAGTTACGCTATAAGGCCAAGTAAAAAAAAAAGCTAGATGATCGTCCCCGTCCGCCCCAGTTTTTGTCAGCGCCCCAAGAAATATTTTATTTTTTAAATCGTGAGTTTTACTATATGGACCACATACTACTAGTATATCACAACGTCAGTATCGATCTGCTGAAGAAAGAAAAAGAAAAAAATAAAAAAAAATAAAAAAAGAGAAAAAAAACCTTGATGTTGTTGTGTACACTGTGTGCATGAGAGGGTAAAAAGTAAAAAAATAAAAATAAAATCCTCCCGCCCTCCCCGATTTTTCCAAAAAAAAGGACGATCATCTAGTAATTTTTTTTACTCGGCCTAATGTCCACGAACAATTTCACTGTATTTGAAATAATTTTGTTTGATACCCTGAGAACTCTGAAACTTTGGAGCACTGTGGAATATGTAGATACAACATTTATAGAAGGAAAAGTGGAATAATTTCTAACACATTGTTCAAATAATTATAGCACTGAATTGTTGAGATTGTGAGCACATTCCAATCAGCACTCTACATATTTATAAGCGGTGGAAATCGTTAGGAATAGGTCGTGAGTTGTCAGAGTGCTCCAGTATATGAGAGAATGTTTTGTTTGTCTAATCGACGGCTCGTTTGAAGCCAGAGTTGTTTGAACTTGTTTCAGTCGACTTGATTCTAGATAGTAGTCGAAGGAGTACTATGAAGTACACACCACACGTAGTCCGTAAGGTATCTCGTGAGAATTCTGTCGGTACACATCAGGTATCAGCTTGGAAAGATGGATCCTCTCTGTTTCTTGAAAGCCTGTATAATTGGACTGTGGCTCCAGCGATTCCCTTCTCAGAGCAGATACCATACCCAATACGGTCAATGCATATTGGACAGACCTGTATGCACAACAGAAATAGTGGAGAGAAATCTCTCAGCTCATGAACACGTCAGTGAAGTTTGAACTGCCGTTGTTTGTGGCCATCAGTAAAAACCTATCGACTATAAGAATAATGTGCAAACAAACTTCTATAACCACAGCTGGGGCCATGGAATTATAAACTTAGGGAATTGCCAATTCTGGTCTGAGTTGCGTTCGAAGCCTGCAATTCATGATGGCTATCGTATGTTGCATTGACCAGAGATCATATCATAAAACTTCCATGCCACATTGAAACACGCACCACTTTCGAGTACTTAGGTATCCCCCACCAAATGGGCATTCGTTCTCGGGGTGGCAGGCGTCACTATTCGTTATGCCTGGATCAGATTTCATTGACCCCAACTGTCATGAAGAATCATTTTTACTTTGACTGGATTTCAGTACAAGTTGTAGAACTGCAGAATCAATTTCGTTGTATTTGGGCAACCATTTCTCTACAAACGCTCTATTGGGAAAATAGAATTTTTATATAAAATAGAATAAAAATACATGTCCAAATTCCACATCTACCCAAATCGGAATACTTGATCACGTATTCAGTACTACACGGAATGTTTAGAAAACGCCAGGGAATAGGAATTTGCTAACGAGAACTCCAGGCCAGGGTACTAGCATACGAACAAAACAAGATAAAAACTCACCAGTGTATACACTTGTAGTAATTCATGTCGGTGTAATATTCATAATAAGCAACGAGGCACCCTCCGATTTGGTCAAGCTGCTTTGAAGTCTGGTTGTTCAGGTGATACAAACGGGCTCCCCGTTGTTACTTCCAGCAGCTTCACTCTCCCTGCGACAGCGGCTATCAGCCTCTCTCTCCATCGTCGACAATTATCACAGATTCAACATTCTACATTTATCAGCACTGCACTGGGTGAATATGTCTCAAGACGAATTTAGCGGATCAACAACGCTTCGCTGGAGATAAATTCTCCTCTGGAGGACCTTGAGGGTACCTGGAAGGGTATAGAAGACGGGATTGCTCACGACGTTGAGAGAACATAGAAAACAACCTCCTCTTCGATTGAAAATTGGCCAAAAAGTATGTGAAATGTATGTGCGCAGATGCATTTCCACTGGCAAGCTAATCCCTCATTACGTCATCAGCGCTCGCTCGGCGAAATTCAAAAGTCGTCTTCCTGCTCGACTCGATCGCTTCTGGAGACTCGTTCTTGTTCGAGGGGTCTTCTCTTTCACCTACCTTCGTCTTGGCATCGAAAACTCGGCGTCGAAAATGAAGCCGGAGTGCCCCTTTAATAAGTGAACATGCATGCAACTTGATGGTGGGGCACTGACCTGGACACGCCACAGCTACCTATGAAGACTTCAAGAGTGTCGAAATTATCTGATCCCATCTATTGCACCTGCATGATATTAGTTATCCATGGTTGTCATAGCAACACCTGCATGATATTAGTTATCCATGGCTGTCATAGCAACGCATCATATTAGTGTAGCAAGAAGGACCCATGAGTGTGTGTGATCCCCGGTAGCCTAATCGGTAGAGCACTGTCCCGGAAAGACAGGGGTGCTGGGTTCGAATCCCGCTCGTGGATCCTTCTTTTGCAACATTAGTTATCCATGGCTGTCATAGCAACGCATGATATTAGTTATCCATGGCTGTCATAGCAACACCTGCATGATATTATTTATCCATGGCTGTCATGGCAATATCTGGCATTGTCATATTTCTTCTGCACTGTAGTCACCTGAGAAAGTGCCCATTTCTCAGCCTCAACGGCTGACATCCACCCTACAGGATGCGCTTCCTAGGCAATCGGGAGATTTCAGCTCAAGCAGTGCAATAGCAACACAGCTGTCCAACATGCAGCGTGAGAATGATGATCTGCTGGAGCAGAGTCAGCGCTTGCTAGTACAGCTTGTGGTAAGTGAATCCATTGGTCATTTCAGGTCTCGTCATATTTTAGTTTCCATGGTTATGAGGGAAATATAATTGTTTGCTTGTAAAGAAAAATGGTATTTTGGAAAAAAAAAGGTGTTCAAAGGAATTCCCTATGGATACTGGCAAGGTGTGTGCATATGACTGTGTGTGTATGTGTGTGTGTGTGTGTGTGTGTGGGTATGTGTGTGTGCGCGTGTGTGTGTGTGTGTGTGTGTGTGTGTATGTGTGTGTGTGCGTGTGTGTGTGTGTGTGTGTGTGTGTGTATGTGTGTGTGTGCGTGGTGTGTGTGTGAGGGGGGGGGGGGGATGCGTATGTGTGCATGGGACAGGCATACTAGTAGCGACTTCAATCACGTGACCAAAAGGCAGAAATCCTTCGTCGTACGAATGTATGGTGCAAGCATGGCGTGCACGGAACAATTTTTCTCTCGACGTTCTACGCCTGCCTACGCGTTATTCATGTATCTGGCGCCTTCGATTTTTACATGATCGTCAAGCACACATGAATAGCTTTCCAACGGTGTGTCGCATGTCAAGAGTCATCGATTTTTGGATATATCGCTCCGTATTTTTAGTTTTCAAAGCAAACTTTCGGCATCTCAGCTACCTTGCCCGTCAATGACCGAGTCACCATCGTGTTCAGAGCCCTCGAATTAGTTTAGATGGGTTCGTGGTAAGGTTCTCCTCCGTAGCCGTTTTTAGCAGTTTGAAGAATTTGTGCGCAGCGGCTGAATTCGGCTATGGAGTGCACTATTTTGACGGGCTCTGCGTGACGGAGCGAGCAGACCTTTGGCTTGTAAATCCGCTAGTAATGATTATGTTCTTCACGTCAAGATTCTGGAGGTGCTTGAGCAGTGAGGAGGTGATTATTTCAATCCATCGGCATCGAAGCAGAGCACGTCCCGTCCAACATCTATGTGTACGACGGTTTCTCCGTCACCCTCCAAGAACACCAAAAACCCGCATATCGCGCATACATTCACTGTGTATGCATGATATTCATGAGGTCCGAGAAGCCCACTTTTGTGCCATCGCTCTGCATACAATTGCATACATGGGCTCCAACGATTGCGTACCAACTTTGGGGCCTGATATCTCCGGTTTGGGACAAGATATACCCATGACATTTTCTGTATGTGCTCTGCAGAGGTTTCTCTTTCCAGTCGTGTAATTTGTTGGCCCTAATTCTGATTTTAGAATTTTGGACTGAAGTCGCTAATACTAGTTACTCTGCGGTCAGTGGTACATGCCGCTGAGTATTGTACAGCAGGATACATGCATGTCAAGCATGTGCTGCACCCTCAGTACAGGGATGTTTGATGTAGGGTGGTGGACAGCATTGTTTAGTTGTTGAGAGAACATACATGTACAGGTCGTCCCCCATTAATACGAGTCCGGTTAGTACATAAACCCCGTTAGTACATACTTTGAAGTAAGAAATCTCAAGTCCCGTACGAAATGTGGTCACTTCCATACAAATTTTGTCGGTTAGTACATAATTCGTTTGTACATAAACCCCGTTAGTACATAACATTTCTCCGTACCCGCATGCCACCTACCTCAATAGTACATAATTGGCTGGTCTTTTGGCCTACTTGTGGACGCAATTTGCTCAGAAATCAGAGCGCACATCACAAACTGCTATGTATACGTCATACTTCATAATATGATGACTCCTCTTTTCTCTATCATACTGAGCATGCGTCATAACAACATGGTCTTTTGTCCGTCACTACTCTATGAACTGTTTGTGTGTCTGTGAGGTCCGACACAACAATGGCGACGAAGTTGGGATGAATTTGTTTTGGTCGTTTTACTTTACTGTGTATTTAGCTACTTACCTGTAGCTGTGCTATTTCTGCATCATGGCAAAGGCCACGATAGAGCCGTTCGACGGCGGAGACTTTGAGGAATACCAGGAAAGACTAAATTTTTTTTTCATTGCCAATGAAATTGGACAATTGGCGTCCAGTGCGTCAAACGCGGATAAGGCGAAAGCTGACAAGCGCATGACGGCTTACCTTATTTCTCTACTGTCGAAGACTGTTTACTCGACGTTGAAGACCCTGTGCTTGCCAAAAAACCCGACGGATTTCAAGTACTCTGAGATCGTTGACAAGCTGAAAGTACATTACAAGGTGAAAACCTCACGGACGACGGCGACACACAAGTTCCGTCAATGTGTTCAAGGGCCCTCGGAGAGTGTTACTGATTATTCTCATAAACTCCAGCGCTGTGCTGTAGAGTGCAAGTTCGGCGATCATTTGGACAGAGCTCTTTGTGATCAGTTTGTGGCTGGGCTGCGCGATCTAGACACGCGCAAATTTATTTTGTCAAAGCCGGACGACGACGTAAAGTCATTTCAGAACGTATTTCAACTGGCGTTGACGGAGGAGACGGCAGGTCTGTTTGCTCGTACTCTACAGGCCAGTGGGAGCGCCAGGGACCAAGTCCAAGATGACGGAGTGCACGAGTTGCGGACGAGGCACTCGTCGGACAAGCACAAATTTCAGTCAAAGTCCAAGTCCAAAACACCCACTACTAAGTCTAAGGCATGTTATCGTTATAGGTGCCTGATAGGCATGTTATCGTTGTGGTGCCGCCAGCCATTTGGCCACTGCGTGTCAGCACAAAGACACTCGCTGCCGACACTGCCACAAGACTGGCCATCTGGAGCGGGTGTGTCTGTCCAAGAAACGCCAGCATGATTGTCATCAACTCCAGGAGACGATCAGTTCTGATGATGGTGAGAGCGTTCCTATGTACCATGTATATACTGAATGTGTGAATGCTACTAGCACTACTAAATCGAATGCACCTCTGTACGTACCTGTGGAAATTAATGGTGTGACTGTAGAAATGGAGGTCGACACAGGCAGTGGTGTAACGATACTCACAGAGAAAGATTTTCAACAGTGCAATGGCGATTTGAATACATTGCAGAAATCTACAGTCATTCTCAGAGGATTTTCTGGTGCCGAAATTAAATGCATTGGGGAATTTCCAGTACCTGTCACGATTAACGGGAAAACTGAATCTGTTACTGTACGCGTTGTTGCAACTGAGGGTCCCTCCTTACTGGGTCGTGATTTACTTAACGTGTTCACTCTTCCCTGGAAACAAATGTTAGCCGAGAAGGTCCATCGTACCCTGGGTACTGACCAATTTCAGAAAGAGTTCCCTGCACTATTCGATCACTCGACATTGGGAAAAATGAATGGCGTTCAGATACACTTGCATGTGGATGATGGGAAGCCAAGGTTTTGCAAACCTCGTTCGGTACCTTTTCATATTCGGGAACAGTATGAGGCTTCTCTTGACAAGCTCGAACGGGACGGTGTTATTCAGAAAGTTACGCACTCAGACTGGGCAGCTCCTACAGTACCTGTGAGAAAACCTGATGGCTCCATCCGGGTATGTGGTGATTACTCCGTTACCATCAACAAATGCTCCAAAATGGATCACCACCCACTGCCAACACTAGACGAAATGCTTACCAAGCTATGTGGGGGTGAAAGGTTCACTAAACTGGATCTCTCCCAAGCATACCATCAGCTAGAGCTATCACCAGAATCCCGAGTCTATACTACTATCAACACACACCGTGGTTTGTACGAATTTACTAGATTACCGTTCGGAGTAAATTCAGCAGTTTCAATTTTCCAACGAACCATGGAAAATTTACTAGCGGGTCTTCCGGGTTGCGTCGTGTATATCGATGACATCCTTGTCACTGGGAAGACGGATGAGGAACACGCACAGAATTTGCGGCGAGTCTTACAACGACTTGAGGACGCTGGCATGAAATTGAAACACAGCAAAATTGAATTCATGTCGGATGTTGTGGTCTACTTGGGTCACAAAATATCAGCGCGTGGTGTACAACCTACAGATGAACGGATCGATGCATTGAAAAGCGCGAAACCACCCAAAGACGTAGCGGAATTGCAATCTTTCATTGGGTCTGCTAACTATCTACGGCGATTTATTCCACATTTTGCTGAGCAAATGGCACCACTCTATACTCTGTTAAAACGGGATACTAAATGGAACTGGGGTCCCACAGAACAACAGGCATTTGAACAGATACGCAATGCTATGAGTACCGATGCAATGCTCAGTCATTTCTCCATGACCAAGAATGTGGTTTTACAAGTCGATGCCTCAGGTTTCGGACTGGGCGCTGTGTTGCTACAAGAGGATGAGGATGGTTTCTTGCGTCCTGTAGCCTATGCTTCCCGGGTTCTTACCGCTCCGGAAAAGAATTACTCACAAATCGAACGTGAGGCTCTTGCTTTGGTTTTTGGTGCGAATAAGTTTCGACAATACCTATTGGGCAAATCGTTCACACTCAGAACGGATCATAAGCCGTTGCTCTCACTATTTGATCCACACAATGCAGTGCCTACGCTTACATCAACCCGTTTAAAGAAATGGCGTTTGGTGTTATCCGCTTACGATTACCGGCTTGAATTTGTCAAGGGAAAAGAGAACATTTTCGCTGATTACTTGTCACGTAAACCAACCATGAATGTACCATCAGTTGAGGAGAGTGTTACGGAGGAAATCCTACACTTTGAAACGGAGAATATTCTCACTGCAGATACAGTAGCTACGGAAACTAGAAAGGATCCTACTCTTACTCAGGTTATGCAATACGTAAAATTTGGGTGGCCTGTTAATGTTGATACCAAATTGCAACCTTACTACTCACGGCGATTTGAGCTTACTGTACAAAATGGTGTACTGATATGGGATTCTCGTGTGGTTATTCCGAATTCCTTACAACACCTTCTATTGCAGGATTTACACTCAGAGCACACCGGAATTGTGCGTATGAAGAGAATGGCTAGGCAATATGTATGGTGGCCTGGTCTGGATAGTCACATTGAGAATACCGTGAAATTATGCAGGCTTTGCCAGGAGAATGCCAAGAAGCCAGCAAAGGACCACGGTTCTTGGTCCTGGCCAGCTGGGCCATGGAAACGTCTACACTTGGATTTTGCGGGTCCATTTCTGGGTACTATGTTCCTTGTATTGGTGGACTCGTATTCCAAATATATTGATGTCGTACCAATGAAATCTGCAACTACTCAGGGTGTAATTACAATGTTACGTTCTAATTTTGCTATTTTTGGCTTGCCGGAGCATGTGGTCACAGATAATGGCAGCCAATTCACGAGCGCAGAATTCAAGTCATTCTTATCCAGTAATGGCATCGTGCATACGCTCACGGCACCTGGGCATCCTGCCACTAACGGTTTGGCCGAACGCTATGTGGGACATTTCAAATCTAAAGTCAAGCTCCTGACATCAGAGACTGATTTGTCCTCTGCCTTGTACCGGTTCTTACTCACTCATCGCACTACACCTACGGTGAGTGGCAAGTCACCTGCAACTCTACTAATGAATCGTCAGCCACGAACAAGGTACGATCTACTACATCCGACTACTGCAGCCGCTTTGGATCAGCAAGTGCGTTCATTTCAACAGAATTGCTCGAATACTCCCGAGTATAGTGTTGGTGATGCTGTCTATGCACTGAATTTCAGCAATTATGGGTCGAAGTGGGTACCAGGCGTCGTTCTCAGTATTGTCAGCCCCATGAATTACCGTATTCAGGTTGACGAAGTGGTGTGGAAACGCCATCGGAATCAATTACGGCCTCGTTCCATCCCGGGTGCAATGATTCCCAGTCTGCAACCTCCAGCTGAAGTGGTGGATTCATCGTCTGTGCCGACTCCGCCTATGTCGGTACCACCAGCTGTGACATCTACGCCGCCGGATGAAACACCGGCTCAGTCAACAGCACCTTCTACTCAGGCACCTATAACGCCCGATCTGTCGGCTGCGCCGGCTCCTCATAGTTTGCCGAAACAGCCTGAGCGTACACAGCCCCGTCGAAATGTTGGTAAACCGTTGCGTTATCGTGATGGCTAAGTGTACAGTACATGTGCTGACCAGTCGTGACTGATACCGAACACTTTTTGTAATGTGGATTATGGCCTGGTTTGTGAATACTGATTCTGGACTTTTGAGATCATTCTATTCGCATGTGCATGTATTTCCTTGTACCGGTCTCTGCATAGTCTATTCGCTGTGCATGACAATTACATTAATCTAGACAGTGCTCTGGGCACATGTGCATGTTTGTCCGCATAATTTATTTTCTATAATGCATTCTGTTATGAGCACTGTCCCAGTGTCAGCAAATATTGATTGCATGCCTTTGTACATATTTCTGCTTGCTTTGTTGCTCCATATACCTCCGCTTTGTGGGGGAGGATTGCTATGTATACGTCATACTTCATAATATGATGACTCCTCTTTTCTCTATCATACTGAGCATGCGTCATAACAACATGGTCTTTTGTCCGTCACTACTCTATGAACTGTTTGTGTGTCTGTGAGGTCCGACACAACACAAACCGACAAAGCTCTGTTTTCCCGAGTGACTGTACAGGCGCGGCTGGACGTGTATCACGTAAACTGTAGAATCTTTGCTGACTGTGACCGTTATAACATAATGTTTTATGTTATATCGAGGGAATCAAGAATATCTCACTCCCTAGCCATGGTAGCCAGAAACACTCAGAAAAGTTGAAAAAAGTGAAAAATTCTGGTACACATGCAAGTTACGTACACTTTCGTTTAGTACATAAACCCCGTTAATACATAACATTTCTCAAGTCCCAGAGATTATGTATTAACGAGGGACGACCTGTAGTATCAGCGCTGATGCAGCACAGATTACTGGAAATATGTGTAAGGCAAGTGGGTAACTGACAGTGACCTCTCACTGAAAGCAAAACCCACGAAAATATTGGAAGTCAATGGAATGGGTGTTTTTGTTCCTAGTGCAATAGGGTTACTGCATGAACATACCCAGTTGAGCGGACTGCACAGGATGTACACAGGACTTTGTTCATTTGTTCAAGATACTGCCTGTATCTATTTGGTAATGTCCTCGACCACATGTCATTGTGTGTATGAGTCCTCTACATGTCATTGTGTGAATGTGTCCTCTCCATGTCATTGTGTGAATGTGTCCTCTCCGTGTCATTGTGTGGATGTGTCCTCTTCATGTCATTGTGTGGATGTGTCCTCTTCATGTCATTGTGTGCATGCTTGAAGTCTCAACAACATGATTCCTCAACCAGTCCTGGAATGGACTACTATTCTGCCGCTATTGTGAGTCACCTGGTGTGCGTCTGGCTGTCTGCATGTACCTCAATGTCGGTTCTACATCCTTTCTGCGAAAAAACAGTATTAATTTTGTATTAGCGCATTGTGCAATTATTCCTAAGTAGAAATGGATTTGTTTTAGACCTGCCCACTGTCAAATGGTATTATAGCGGATACACAGGGGTCCGTGTGTCTGGCTGATTGTTCATCTCACTTGGAGTTTGTTGTATGGCTGACCTTGCTACAACTGTTTCAAATTAGCTCAGTCTACATCTAGCCTAAGTCCAATCAACATGTCACCAAGAGAGTGTAGCCCCCAAAGGAGTCTGACTGCCATGTACAATCTTTATCCAGTGCTGTGTTGGCAGAGTTTACATGGCACATGACATGGTTTGAAAGGTTGTGCTGGAAAATAGTACGAAGTGAGCACCAGAGAATTGTACCCAAAGAACCGGTCAACCCTGTAACACTGTGTATCTGAATTCTGTATTTGTTTATCTCTCATGTGCACGCACACACATACCTTCAACACACACACACACACACACACACACACACACACACACACACACACACACACACACACACACACACACACACACACACACACACACACACACACGCGCGCGCACGCACACACACACGCACACACATATGCACACACACACACACACACACACACACACATATGCACACACACACACACACACACACACACACACACACACACACACACATGCACGCACACCAGACACCCGCTCCAGTACCACACACGGCCACACAGTCAAGATCAGAGCATGCTGATTTACAGCACAGTCTAGCCGAGCAAACATCACAGCATCTTCTGCTCCAGCACCGAGTCAGACGTGGTGAAGAAGAAGTTCAGTTTCTACGGCAACAACTGACCAAGAAATCTAGCTCTGTTGCCAAGCAACAAGACAATGTAAGGTTTGGTAGTAGTATGTGCAGAGTAAGGGTACAATAGATTTTTGGTTAGAGGAAAGCAAATCAGCACACGAAGCACAGAAGACATATCATTTTTACGACTAGGCCTTTCATTCCATTACTCTTCAGGTCGAATACAAGTAAGGGTACGCAAGGGTGTATTGTTATTGTAGATTGTAGTGCTGTGAAGTACTATCCTAGCTAGGACATGGACTATTGTTTGTGCGTATTCTGCTTTCCAGTAAATGCGAAGTGGGAGGATTTGAGATGAAGATCTATGTACATGTTTCATCAAGAGTACATAACCTCCCCCCCCCCCCCCCCCCCCCCCGGAGTGTGCAACTCGACTATGGGTGCTGTTCCGACAGAATTTCATGTTGACCTCATTTTATGATGCAATGCACACTGCGCACGGATTATCAGACGAATCCGGAACCTGTGGTGGACCAAAGCCCATCTGATCCTGTACAAATTATTGCAAAGAAAAACTTGTGATGCGTTGACACCCGTACACATGTTGCAAATCACTGGTGCAAGGAGCATTGCATCATAAATAATGGCGTCAACTTGAAATTCTGTCGGGACAGCAGGGTATGTGGGAGTTGCATACTCTTGGGGGTTATGTACTCTTGGTTTCGTGGGATCCCTTAGCGCTAGTGGTCATGGGCAAGCATGTGTGTGTGTGTGTGTGTGTGTGTGTGTGTGTGTGTGTGTGTGTGTGTGTGTGTGTGTGTGTGCGACGATTATGGTCGCACACGTCTTTCTTCTCTTTCTCGGACTCTTCCTGACTTTTCTTTCATTCTCCTGGGTGGTTACCAACAGCCAGTGTATGCCGGAGTATGTGGTGTGGTGTGCGTGTGTAGAAAAAGTGGAGAAATGAAAAATAGGGATTCACTCACTGGCCAGAAAAAGTCACTTCAAACAGCTGTGTGGTGGATACCAGGCTAAAAATAGTGGCGGTCAATTCATCAGCCTTGCAAGCTGTTGAATGGTGTAATCCCAGCACAAGTTGCTATGTCTAACATAGCTGTTCGCTATCATCGCTTTCGCGATGGGCATGTCTGAGGTCTGAGGTGTGTGTGTGTGTTAAAAAAAATTGAAAAAAATGAAAGATAGGGATTCACTGGCCAGAAAAAGCCACTTCAGTCAGCTGTGTGGTGGATACCAGGCTAAAATTAGTGGTGGTCAATTCATCAGCCTTGCAAGCTGTTGAATGGTGTAATCCCAGCACAAGTTGCTGTGTCTAAACATAGTTGTTCGCTATCATCGCTTCTGCGATGGGCAGGTCTGAGGTCTGAGGTGTGTGTGTACAAGGCCGTCACAGCTGGAGCGGCTGAGGCCGCCCCACTTTTTCGGCCGTGTTTTTTTTGTTTTTTTTTGGAGCACACTGCAACAAAGCACGATGATCGCAGCTAGCTCAGCGCAAACGTACGTGGCAAATCCTTGTCCCCGATCTTGGTTATTTGCGGAATCGAAAAGTCTTTTATTGCAGTTACACTGTACCAGTGTACCAGTACACTGAAATGACACTAAATGCCTGAAAATGCTTGCAATTGGCTTCAATTTTGAATATTTTTCCCGGGGGAGGATAATGAAGAACCCTTGTCCTCGATCGTAGCGTCTTCTTGTTTTGTTGCAGAATCAAAAGTCTTTCATTGTATGTTACACTGAAATGGCACCAAATGTCCAGAAATGCTTGCAGTTGGCTTCAAATTTTGAATTTTTTCCGCGGGAGGGCCCCCGAACCCCCCTTCCATGGCCGCCCCACGTCCAAAGTTGGTGCGACGGGCCTGGTGTGTGTGTGTGTGTGTGTGTGTGCATGTGTGCCTGCATTCATGTGTGGGTGGGTGTCCGTCTGTTTGTGTGTGTGCATGCATGCATGTGCCTGTGTTCATGTGTGCTCGTTCTTTCAGCTTCATCAGCAGCTAGTGCAGTCCCGTGGCATGCTTGATGACATGACACGTACACTGCAGCATCAAGAACAGGAGTTAAGTGAGGTGCGCGCTAGGTTAGCGAATGCTGAGGATTCAGTCCTGCACAAAACCAGTATGGTGACATGTCTACAGAAGGAACTAGCGGATAGTGATATTCGACATCAGGCTGAATTAGAACGGTGTTCGGCAGAACTTCATGATCTCAAGCATTCGCAAATACTTGAACATGAAACAGTCAGCAAGAAAATCGATGAGGTGAGAGAAAGAGAAAGAGTGACTGTGTGTTGCTGTGTGTGTGTGTGTGTGTTTGTGTGTGGGTGCGTGTGTCCAAAAAGTAGGGATTCACTGGCCAGAAAAAGCCACTTCATAGCTGTGTGGTGTAGACCAGGCCGAATAGTGGCGGTCAATTCTTCAGCCTTGCAAGCTGTTGAATGGTGCAATCCCAGCACAAGCTTCTGCTGTAGCATCGCTATCATCGCCTCCGGCGATGGGCGTCCAATGGTCCAATGGTCAATGGTGCGTGTGTGTGTGTGTGTGTGTGTGTGTGTGTGTGTGTGTGTGTGTGTGTGTGTGTGTCCAACCTGTTGGAAGGCCACCTTCTTGCCAAAGCATTTGGAAGTTGGACTAGTTTTGGCCCCACAATCCAGTGTGTCGTTACTATAAAGCTTTCATGGCTGAGGTTGTTGGTATGTCTGTTGGCTCTGGGTTCCCAGTACTCAGTAGCCGAGGCTGGTTGGTAAAGTAACTCCAATTTCACTTCAAGGTACCAGTGCATCTAGTGTCTGCTTTGATCAAAGCAGCGTGCTGTCTATACTGGTTAGTGGTTACCCCAGCAAGTGTAGGGTGTGCATACCGGGAAATAGAACTATAGCATAGACTATAACGCCATGGCTTTATATGCGCGGAAATACCGTACATAACAATGTGAGAATAGTTGATGGTTGTTCATGTTTGTGCAAAATTCTTGTCGACTCTCTGTCCCTATTCTACAACAAACTGGTAACTGGTGGTGTTAGTGGACATTATAGCGTAATCATTGGCATCATTGGCTCTCAATCCGAGTCCATACTTTACATAATGGACAGTATTTTCTCAATCTGTGTGTGAGCCTGTGAGGGAACACATGCGCCTTGCTACTCTAAGATCCAATAACTATATACATGTATCTTCTTCCCTCACTCTTACACTCCCTCCTCCTCCTCCCCCCCCCCCCTCCTCCCCCACCATGACACCCTCTGGTACTCTGTGTGTTTGTTGTACAGGTGGTAAAACATGTGCGTGACAAAGAAGAAGAGTTGGAGACTGTTGTAGCGTCAATTGCAAGTCAGTGATCTGACGTAGACTCAACTCTCTCTCAATTTGTCTCTCTTTTTCACACACACGAACACATGCACATACATACACACATACACACACACACACACACACACACACACACACACACACACACACACACACACACACACACACACACATGCACACAATATCTCTCTTTCTCTTATGAGGGCAAGTCGTTGGGACCAAAGGTGGTTCAGGAATCAGAATTTAGAACACTGTACCTTTATGGACCAGCGCTTTCGCCAAGTGGTTGCAGGCTTGGCTGCAAATCACCAAGTGGTTGTAAGCTTGGCTGCAAATCACCAAGTCCCCGATTAGAGGCCTGCACTGGCAGCAGGGAGCGTGTACTGCTCTAAAAAACTCGGTGATGCATGAGCCACTAGACATGTGATGAACTGCACCAACACCCACGGTCAACTGGGTACTGACACAACTCGGAGTGAGGGTAACATGGATGCAGCTAACGAGGGTTTTCCCCTCTGTTGGGCACTGGTTGTTACACATATCATGTCACCCTTGCCGCATTTGCAGTGGTGTAATCAGGCATGGCCTGGAACAAGTTTTAAGCTTCGCGTGTTGCGCACTTAGTGTATGTCTGTAGTACAGTAGTAGTGATTGGGGGGCCAGGGGGGGGAGGTGTTGCTTAACAGACTCAGAACAGTTCAAGGTTGACAGAGATACCCGGGTAGGAGAGATCTGTGCGTGCCACATTTCCCCGAAAATATGTCGCACCTTTCTATTCTAAACTTTGGGGGGGGGGAGGGTAAAGAAGGGGATGCGACTTACAATAGATGACTTGCACAAAGATTGTCTGGGTTCGAGACGGGGCAAGTGGACCTTCTGACTCTGCACTTCCCCACCTTTTGAGTTCTTGACTTTCGAAGTTTTGCTTTTTGCCTGACGAACACTGAGCTAGTTTTTTTGGCTAGAGAGTAGAGTTGTTTTGATTCGACTTGTATCGTCATGCCGAAGCGCTGCTGCGCTCCTGAATGAACTAGCAGACGAGTGATGGAACTGAGGCTCCCATTCCATGCGTTCCTTTCCTAGCCGGCCGGGCGGGAGGCAGAAAAATGAGGGAATAACGTTATTATTTTAGTATCATTGGTGTAGGCTGCAACAAGCACGTCGTGGTCCTGAAGTGTGACTACTTTCCCGCAGTGGAAGCGAAGTGAAGCACAACGAAAGTTTGTGGACGTCTGAGAAAGAACTCGATTCCCTTTCAATCGGCTGCACTAGCTCCAGAGCGACCCTCTCCTGAGGACAGACTGCGAGGAGGCCAGGAACCTGCCGAGTGACGAGTGGAAGCCTAAACCATGAAAATGAAGGGTGGAAGGACTGAGTATGAGAGCCAGATGGCCTTTAGTAGTACTTCAAGTAGTATCTGAGTTGAAGGAGAGAACAAGTGTGCTGGAGAAACGCTGCGAAGTCCTCAGGCCTGATGTGTACTAGCTACTGTTGAAGTCTCACTTGTTCCGATATGAACATTTCATCAGCCCTTACTCTGAGCAGCTGCATCTAGACTTGGATCTAGGCCAGAGACATAGCATTGTAAACCTTACTGAAGCCATATGTATCCGATGCCTGGCTCTAGTGAGAAAGCAGTTTGGCGCAGGCTCGCAAACTATGATTGAATCAGGGAGTGGTGGAAAGTCACATTATACCTCTTCATGATTAGCTGGTAATGACGACGATGCGGCTCCGGCTGGGTCTGATGGGAAAGTAACTTGCATACCTGTTTAGTTGCAACGAGGCAACGGTACCCCATGTACTAAAGACATGATTGAACTACATTTCATCTCCTCCTGGGAGAATGTGGAACAAATAATGCCAGAGTGTGTCTGATACACATCACAGTCTGCTGAGTATGTTCATTATTGTGGACGTAACATAACTGCGCTGTGAGGTACCTTCTGCGTTGGACCTACAGTTGAGCCACTACTCTTCTTACGAATTCCGTACAACGGTGAAAGGATTTGTTGGAGCATCATCAAACAGTGCATTCTCCTTCATCATACACTGGCCCCGTTGCCTACAGTAATTCACATCTTGACGGGGCGCGCTGGGACGATACGGAAGGAGCGGCGGGAACCATTGGAGTGCTCATGATGCTGGTTAGCGGAGACGAATGTGAGTGTCAGGAACGGGAACGCAACCGCACTACTGTACAGATCAGGAAGCGATGGAAGAGTTGAATCTGAAAACGAACACAACTGCAACTGTTCAAATTTCAGCATTTCGAGCATTATGCTTCCCACCGAATGGCTCACATGACGGAGTTGGACATTACCAGGCTAGGATTATCATTTGCTGTATTTATGGATAGTCCTTGAGTTTTCAGATGAAGTGCTTTATCTTTTACCTTGTCGTTCCTTTAGTGTGGCACAATGTCGATGGCTGCTTTCTTGTCTTCATTACAGACTGGTATAATCAGCATGATTCTGCTTTATTAGAGAAGAAATTTAATATTTCCTTTCGGAAAGGAAGCCCAGAAACGTCAACCCCCATGGACTGTGCCTTATGACTCTCGTCCATCGACGTTAACCGTCACAATAACTGCTGCATGTATGTTGTGCTGTGCGAACCGTACAAGATTTTAACAGCTCACCCACGCCTTCCCAACAGGCTCCTATATCCCGTACCGATAGCGTTACATTGAATATGAACTAGGCTAGCACAGTTATCCTTCGTTCTTTTGATGGCGGCGGGTAGCATGGAACTTGACGTGTTCTTGGGATCCTCGTGCAACGCTTGCTGTTCCCGGATGCCATATTATTGGGTGCATCGAGGTTGCTTCTATGCTCACTGTTGTTTAGTAAGACAATTTTTTTAATAACTATTTCACCGAAGAATATGGCAAGAGTATTTTGGGTTGGTTTGAACGCCTGGCTTCCCTTCACATAATATACAGTCATGTACTTCCACTAACCCTACAACTAAAGTACAAGTGCACATGACTCATGAGCTGCTGAAGACAGTGACTAGTGACGGTACTGATCATGTACATGTACATCATGTACATGCCGTGCACCGTTCATTCATGCTGACCAAAAAAGTACACTACAGACGGTGTAGGGTGCCCGCAGTGTAGCCTGGGTGCACAGGGTGCACTTGCCCCGTCTCACTCGCGGCTCGGATCTTTGTGCAAGTCATCTATTGAGTTTGAGATCCTACTGATATGAATATATTGAAACAGTGTGCCTCAGGCTTGAAAGTGCGGCTGTGACTTATAAGAGCGCGATTTATAATCGGGGAAATACAGTAGTATGTGCTTGGATTTGTCAGTATCCCTCCCCCCCCCCCCTGATGGAGTGCATGTTCGGTTTTCTGTTCTTCAACTGCATAATCATCTCAGTGTGGCTTCTGTACGTGCTGTTGTGGCTGAAAATAGTGGTGTTGTTGCTGTTTTGGCTGGTGCTGCTGCTTTGTGTGTGTGTGTGTGTGTGTGTGTGTGTGTGTGTGTGTGTGCGTGCGCGCATGTGTGCGGGCGTACTTGCGTACATGGGTGTATGCTTACATGTGTGTACGTTTGTGTGTAGGTGTATGTGTGTATTGTATATGTGTGTGTTGTATATGTGTGTATGTGTGTGTGTGTGTACGTTTGTGTGTATGTGTGTGTTTATGTGTGGTCATGCATATGCGCATGTGTATGCCATGGCACTGACCCAGCTCATGAAGCTGCAATGCAGGCAAAGGATACTCTTATAGCCTCTCTTGAGGAGAAGCTGCAAACCTCTCGCTCAGAACTGGAAACACAGACGACCGAGATTGTCGGCCAACGGCAGAAATTCTCAGGCCTTCAACGCGATGCTGAAAACGGAGAACGACAGGTACTCGCTATCATGTTGTTTTTACCAGAATAAACTGTGCAATGTTGCTCAGTGAATTCCAGTCGAGTCACTCAAGTGCGCGCTAGCCGTTGCGCAGCTCCGGACCAGCAAACACTGGGCTGCGAAATGGTGCAACGTGCGAACGTGACTCACACGACTGGATTTCATTGAGCAGCACTTCACTTTGTAGAAATATCCGATATGGACTAATCTAGCTTCACATTTTGAGAGATTGTAGCTATTTCTGATTTGGTCAATCATGTCAATGGTGGAGGTGATGGAAATGGAGATGTGGAATGGTTTTAGTCTCCTGCAGTAACAAGGATCATGTCTGAGACAATGATTTGGAGAAAAAAGCAGGAAACGCCACAAGTAAGATGACTAAACCATTGATAATGCAGCTTTTACTGTATCATCATTGATCCTCTGCTGTAAGGAAAATGTGCTTGCAGTCGGAGCGCTCTGGTTTTGAGGCCCTTTAAAAATGCTTTCAGTGGACTTCATTCGGTTACCGGATCTGCCGGTCACTCAGCTCTTTCGCTGATGAAACCTTAGTAGCTTGATACAGCGTGCTGTCCAGAGATTAAGCGGACTGCAGTTGTGTGCTACTGCCATCTGTACTTCCCTTTGTACTGCCTTGTGTACTGCCATGTGTACTATTGCCATGTGTACTATTGCCATGTGTTCTAGTGCACCATGTAGTACTGCCATGTGTACTGTGAACTGCCCGGTGTACTTGACACAATACCTGCCCTGCCCTGCCCTACCCTGCCCTGTCCTGCCCTGCCCTGCCCTGCCATGTGCACTAGTGTCCTATGTACTCCTGTTATGTGCTACTATCCTGTGTTACCTACAGGTGTTTCAGCTCACAGCTAACCTGCAGCAGTGTCAAAAGCAACTTGAGCTGCACATCCAGGACACGAAAGCTGCAGAGTCACTACGTGCTCTGCACCAGAGAGATGTGTCTGATGCCAAAACAAAAGTAAGACCGTTGTTCTTTTAAACTGGATAGTCCGTATAGCATGCCCTCAGCCTGTGCCACAGAACATTCACGTATAGCATGCCCTGTGCCACAGAACATTCACGTATAGCATGCCCTGTGCCACAGAACATTCACGTATAGCATGCCCTGTGCCACAGAACATTCACCTTTCAAAACCCAAACCCTAAGCAAACATTGTTCTCCATGTTCATAAGTGTATAGGATGACTCTGTACCTGGTAAGTGTATTGTATGACCCTGTACCTGACAGCATAACTTGTACTGGAGTAATGTGTGATCACTGCAGCAAGGTGCTGTCTGTGTCACTTACGAAGTGTTGCAATATAGACTCTTGTGAGTCGGGAGGGATGCGGCCACTGGAAAATATCGATGTACTCTGGAACAATGATGTGATGTTCAACAAGTGTTTTTGTGAAGGATTTGTAGTGCAAGGACAAATTACAAAACTTCAATTAGAAAAAATAAAACAGAGGTTCCATGCTGTCCTCGATGCCAAAGGGCAGAGCTAGTTCCAACAGAAGAAGAAGAGGATGAAACCTGTGTTGACAATGGCTAGACCTTCCGGATTTAATTCTTCCCCGTTTAGATGTCTCAGCTAGAGATTGCCGTGCAGGAGAAGTCTATTGAGTGCAGTAACTTGAGGAGTGCAAAGATGGAGCTCGAAGCAGAGGTTGCCAAACAGAAGCATGCGAACAGTTTTGCTGAGCAGCGCTACCAGGATGCGGAGACTCGGATTGCGAAAATGAAATCGGAGGTAAGCTGTTGTAACTAGCGGCTATGCCCTAGGGAGGTAGTATACTTGTTGTAACTGTAGTAGCAGCTATGTTCTAGTGAGGTAATAAATGTGTTACTACTGTAGTAGCAGCTATGTTCTGGCGACTACTGAAAGATATTCTTTGGTGTGACGTGCATGATCTCTAGGTTTCCTTTTCAAAAGGATGTTGTTGTCGTCAATAATTGGTTTGCTCAATACTGGAGCAAGTTTGGTCTTCTGTCTGGCCAATGCAAATTGTCCGGATTTAATGGTTATTATGCACCGTCGTGGACATGGAAATCCGGTCGCACGTCTAGCTGCCCCAGGGCGCTGGCCATGCAGCCGTGAGTCAGTGGTACACACATTCATTAATGCGCTGTCTGCAGCGTGCTGGTCGCATCGGATCAGTGTGTGCACTGCACGCAGCGTTCTGTACGCGCTGAGGGCGCCGGGCCGGTCATTCGACTGCATTTCCATGTCCACGGCAGTACATTTGCAGATGCAAGGTGTGCAGCCGTTACCAGCCGTTACCAGCCGTTACCAGCCGTTACCAGCCGTTACCAGCCGTTATTACCTCAATGTCAGAACTACATGTATCTAGTACTACGAAGTAATTGATCACAAAATTCCCTCTCAGCAGGCTGTTGCTATTGTAAGCAGTTGTTCAAGCTGTGGCGTTTAGTACCCGGGAAGTGGCTCGAGATCATGATGTCATTGGCAACCAGGCATCTCGAGATCATGATGCCATTGGCAGCCAGGCATGATTATGCATCACGAGTATGCACAACTCAGCTGTAATGGATTTGTCATTGAGAAGAGGGATGTCTTCCTGACAGAAAGTATAAGAGACCATTCCTCTCGTACAAAAGTGTGGTTTAGCCCAGGCCCACGGGTACACACCCAGGCCTGCGGGCACACCTCCCCATACACACATGCACGCACACACACGCACACACACACACACACACACACACACACACACACACACACACACACACACACACACACACACACACATTCATGCGCACTCTTTCAGATGCTGCATGCGTGTCCTAAGGCTTCTACTAGCCTCTGCAATCATGCATAAGTACAGAGGCAATCCGGCAACAATGGCTGCAGCAGATTTGGAGAAATAGAATAGTTGAGTTTAGTCGTGCAAGTATTAGCTTCTGCAGGTCTGAAACGCATGCTTTTAATGAAGAAAGTGCATATTCTTTTGCCAGAGAACATTTCGAATATTCAAAAACGTACCGTATCCATAGAAACTTATAGCTGAAACCATGGCAACTACTGACCGTCACTTTATGTCAAGTGAAATTTGCCGAAACGTATGTATCTATTTATTTAGACAGCCTCTCCTGGCACAGCAGACGATTGCCAGTTATTGTGCTGAGATGAAGGGTGGGAGCCAACTTAAAGCAAGAACGATGAATAGGAGAATGGTATTATTTGGCTTGCTCGGTAAATACAGTGCTGCTCAATGAAATCCAGTAGTGCGAGTCAAGTTTACACCTTGCGCCATTTCGCAGCCCAGTGTTCGCAGGTCTAGGGCTGCGCAATGCCCGGCGCGTACTTGAGAAACTCGACTAGATTCCATTGAGCAGCACTGTATTATACGTTTTTAAAGGAGATGGACTTATGTAAAGTGTACACCAAGATATGCACAGTGGATATGCACAGTGGATATGCACAGTGGATATGCACAGTGGATATGCACAGTGGATATGCACAGTGGATATGCACAGTGGATATGCACAGTGGATATGCACAGTGGATATGCACAGTGGATATGCACAGTGGATTTGCACAGTGGATATGCACAGTGGATATGCACAGTGGATATGCACAGTGGATATGCACAGTGGATATGCACAGTGGATATGCACAGTGGATATGCACAGTGGATATGCACAGTCGATATCATAAGCATACTAACCACTGGAAATGAAGACAGTTCTTTCTAGCCCTGCACATTGGAATCTTCTGTTCAGCTCATTTTCCTGTTGGTATTGGTTGGTGGCATCATGGACAGTGCCCGCTCCTGTGCTGAAAACACATTACATTACCTGTAAGTAGTGCTGTGTGTGCCAGAGCTTCAAGACTCCAAGGAGAAATCAACCAGTGTTGTGTGTGTGTGTGTGTGTGTGTGTGTGTGTGTGTGTGTGTGTATGTGTGTGATACCTTGGAGACTCCAAGGAGAACTCTAGTACATGTCGAGAGCATTTTGCATGTGGTCACAGACTCCCAGCAGCTGAACAGACACTGTTCTTGAGTGGCAATTGGCAAAACATCCATCGCACTGATCACAAGCATCACGGTGGTAGTGCAAACCAACACTACGGACATACGTGATAGAGCGTTGAGTGCGTCTCCCTCTCTCTCCTAAGTGTTCTAGAATTTCTGTCTCTGTGAAAACTGCTCACTGACATACATGATAGAGATTTGCAGATAGTGTATATTTGTAGAAGAAAGACAAGAAAAAGGTATCACCTGTTCGTTGGTGAAAGAAACAACCTTCCAGAGACAAATTATATAACATGTTTCCTTCCTTTTGCCACGAAAAGTAGACTGGGGTAGTGGGAGGGCTGAGCAATAGTGAATCGGCCTAGACTAGGCTAGAGCTGGAGTATTGCAGTTATACATGAGACAAAAATACAATGTGATACTATCTCGGATTTCTTTCATTGTGGAAGGAGGGGAGGGAGGCCAAAATTGATACAAAAAGCTTTTAAGTTTGAATATCAGTGTAAACTCCTCCTAGAGCGTAGGTTCCATGAGCACATACTAGAGTGTGCAAAGCTGCGAAGCTGACAACAAAACATTAATTATGCTGCAGTACGCAGCAACAAAGCCACTGAAGCATGCAGTGTCTTCGTATTCTGGCTGATCTCCAATCAGGGCTACACATAATTGTGGAGTATCTCCTGGTGATGTTCAATACTTTTTGAGAACACATGCAACTTGCAGCGAACTGAGCCTGCACCAAGTAGCAGCAGCAGTAGCAACATCAGTCTGATAATACACCACCAACATACTAAGACAGCTCAAGGCAGCGTGTAATACACTGACGGTCCAAGCACCAATTGCAGCAGCAACAATTCTAGTCTGGAATTAACATCGCGACGGTCAAAAGACGTGTACCAATAAAGTCAGTTCATGAAGTCTCTATAAGCATGAGCGCCCATGGTCAAGTCTCACAGCCCATACCAATACGCGGTAGTGCTAGAGTGATTTCGTAATGTTCTGCACGACGTGATGTGACACAAATACTTGCAATGCCTGGGTTTGAGTACGCGGATCCAGACAGACGGGATCTCGCAGGCCCTGGGTACACTGTTCGAAATAGTCAGCACAGCAGCTGCCAAGACTGTTGTTGTCCGTGTACCAGTTCAAACATGCGTAGTAACAGTAGCAGTACCCACCACCCCGCACTGGGATAGCCTCATTGTCCAGGGCACCAGCTGGTCGCTTCGTTCCTCGGCACATTCCACGGCATGTAGCGTCTTGCTTTTCCGGCGGTAAGCACTCCTCTACGTAATCCAGACAGCAGTCTAGATGTCGTGAACACGCTGCATCACACTGACACGATATGTTCAATAGGTGGGTGCCGTTTCTGACCGTGGAACTTGTGTTGCCGCATCGCCCGCGACAGCTGCTTGCCAGATTCCGAATGCTGATAAGACTGGGCTCCGGTGGTCGTTTGATTCCCATCGTATACATCGTACCATCATCTGTCTTTGTGCATGCTGCCATGGCTGTGCGATTACCGACAGTGGTGAGGCGGTAGAGAAAGCAGTTGCCCGTGACCTTCGGCCCAGGACCAGTGCAAGTGCACGCTGCCGTTGAAGTTGTGTAACACCCTTTGGAGGTCTTGTGAGGACATGCCTTCTTACTCTTCCTAGCACAGTATTCACAGCGTGGCGCGTGGCAAGGCTTACCCTCACAGGTAAAACAGTCACATGTTGCTTCCTGTCCGTTATGATACACGTATTTCGTGCAGTCACTGCGGTTGGCGCAGAGATCGCGGCAGAGGTCCGGCGAACTCATGAATCCCACCCAGATGTATGCATCCCACTGAGGATTTGTTGTGTTAGTGCTGTTTGTTGAGTTGTGGTACACATAGTTACAACCAAGTGCACTGTTTGTGAACCATAGCCTTGTGTCTGGCGGAGTCTGGACAGAGCCGTTGGAATGGGTCCACCACCAGTGAAACTTTGGAAATGTTTGATTCTTCGCAGCTTTACCACTTTCATACAGTGCACAGTAATCTGTTGCCTTGGTGAATGGTGGTTTTACCAACGCCTTCGTCCACACATTGTTGCTGTTCAGCTGCAGAAATGTGTGTATACTGGAGGCAACGTCAGGAGTAAGTGCATTCGACTCTTGGAGTATGTGGAAAAAGTATCCAAGATGCATCACGAATATGCCCTTGAAGCTGAAGAAGTCACTGCCTGGATCGCCTTCTCCACAACCGTATGCGGCCGCACGAGACCCTCTCTGTATATCTAACATAGCTCCTGTGACGTCCGTGAGATTCACCAGAGCAGACTCTAGTAGACTGATAGCTGTTTGTAGATAGTTCTTATCAGCTGTAATGTTGTATAGTAGTGCAGCGCTGCTCATGAGTATACCATGGTTGTAAGACATACCTGCTACTCGACTATTAGCACATTCAACACGCGGATATGTTATATTCTTCTCTCTAGACGCTGACAACGCATGGCAACAATACTGGGGAACAGCTCCGGTACTCATTATACCGTTCTCCGCCAACAATCCACGGCCATTGTCGAATGCAAACAGCCAATTCCAGATCTCCTCTGCGGTGGCAATAAATCTGCTGTGCTCGGCTGGAGTCTTCGCTACGGCTGCTAGCTTGCCAGCCACGTGGAGCATCTCAACTATTGAAATACTGTCCTTAAAGTGTAACGGGTCTTCCATGTTCCACCAAAATCCCCCACAAGACTGGTTGATGTCAGCACGCATTGCATGATCCCATCCCCATTTGAAAGCCCAGTCATGTAGCTGCATGGATCGGTTCCTCCACACGTCCTGTCCCGTCCAATCATAAACCCGCAGGTAGGCCAGGGCATACCAGGAGAAGTCGTCGACGAATACCTGCTTGATCCTCGCATCCCAGTGGGCATTGTATGGCGAATGGATCCACATGGACTCGGCTGTTTGGTGAACCTTTCCGCAAATACCCGTGCTGTTAGGTGATTGGCCCGTAGCCATGCAGTAGTTGATGGAGGCCTCCAATGCCGAAGCCGACCACCAGCGATAACAGTTCGTACAGGAGTAGAGCCAGTCGGATTCACAACCACACGTGTACACGCTAGCACTCTCTCCGTACGGGGCGAAGCCACCCATCTGCCCGCAAGAGAAATAGAACGAAGCTGCAGTATTCACACCGGGAGGCAACGGTCCAGGCGGATCGTTGCACACACACTCATATTCTGCTTTCGTGTAGCACCCAGTACTGGAAGCAGTCGGGCAACCTCCCTCTTTGCAGTATAGACATTCTGGTGGAGTGCAATTCTTTTTGTCACACGTAAAACACGGACACTTCTTGGGACGTGCCGCTGGTTTGCCATTCCGCTCAGCCTGCAGGTAGTACTTCATCAAACCTTCTAGCGCTGCCTGGGCACGCTGAATTGGCGCTGGTAGCGGTGCTGGCGTCGGTGCTTGCAACTCTCCGACATGGATCAGTGCCACTACCAGGCAAAGACTGAGCATTGACAGTAATTTGACCATCGTCACCCGAACGTTTCATTCAAATCCCCTAGAGCGATCCGAAAACCACCAAGTTGCTCTGAGGTATCCGTACTGCAATCCGCTCTTCACGTGAAGCCTCCGCCAATAAATCACTGTATTGGAGCCTTTGGAGGAGAACATTTGCGTGATTTCAACACCTAACGTGGAGTTTTTGATATGTGGCGAACAGCAGTGACATTTTGCGAAAAACAAAAGAGCGGAGTGACTCATATGGCGCGCATGGGAGCTCGAGCTCCGGAGCTTCAGATTAGTCGTGCGGAACGTGATCACAGACTCAGTAGATCTGCGGTTGGAGTATCCTACATAGTGATCTGCACTACCATACTACTTCAGTGACAGTAGAGACGTAGAGTGTAGTCCAGAGAAAGGGACGGTCACGTAGCCAGTGATCAGGTGAACCGGTCCGTGGAGAGGTATGACTGAAAAGTACAGTAGAGACGATCAGTACTAACTCCCAGTAGATAGATCGCATGTTTGCAACAAAAGCACGCCGTGATGACATCAAAGTCGTATCAATCTCCAAAAATAATGTTGGTCATTGGCGCCTGATTCGTTCCATCACCATCATTTGCATTGGAACAGCGAAGGGATAATCAGGGCACCTTACGATTTTTTCAGTTTGCAATCACGGATTGATATCTCGTCCAACGTGTTTTGTTAGAAGATCATGGTCTGAATGTCTCTTCTCTTCCGACTTGTCTTTGAATGAAAGATGTTGAGGTTGGCTTTCGTCGTTAGTTTGGCACTTGCCTATTTCGGAGTTTCGCAATCCGCGAAGCCTGCACCGCTGCCAACGCCGATTCAGCGCGCATCGGAAGCGTTGGAAGGTTTGATGACCTACTACCTGCAGATCGAACGGCACGGTGAGCCGGAGCCTCGCCCGTCCAAATGTCCATGTTTCACGTGCGAGGGCAAGAACTGCAGTGTCCCGGTCTGTACGTATTGCGATGCTCAGCCGGAAGGTTGCCCTACCAAAAAGAGCAAAGGATGTTACACGAGCGCGAAGTACGCGTGTGCGTGTAACGACCCACCCGGCACACCACCACCCGGGGCCTACTCTGCCGCTCAGTTCTACTTTTCGTGTGGACAGATGGGTGGCTTGGCCCCGTATGGGCAGACCACGAGTGTCTACACGTGTCTGTGCGAGTCGGACTGGCCGTATGATTGCACCAACTGTTATCGTTGGTGGTCGGCTGTTGCATTGGAGGCATCCATCAACTTCTGCATGGCCAAGGGTCTGACACCGAGCGCCACAGGCATTTGCTCGCAGGTACACAAAACGGCTGAGTCCATGTGGACACACTCGCCCTACAATGGCTACTGGGACGTGAAGCGCAAGGATGTGTACGTGGACGACTTCTCATGGTATGCGCTTGCCTACTTGAAAGTCTATGACTGGACCGGGGACGAGGTCTGGATGAACCGCTCGATTGCACTGCATGACTGGGCGTACAAAAATGGCTGGGACCACAACATGAGAGTGGACGTCAATCAATCGTGTGGTGGATTCTGGTGGAATACAGAAGACTCCCTTCACTACAAGGACAGTATCACTATCGTGGAAATGCTGCACACTGCCGCAAAGCTTGCCCTTGTTTCCAAAACCCCAGCCGAGCATAGCCGATTTCTTGCCAGCGCAGAGGAGATCTGGAATTGGCTGTTTGAATTCGACAATGGCCGTGGATTGTTGGCGGAGAACGGTATAATGAGCACTGGAGCTGTTCCCCAGTATTGTTGCCATGCGTTGTCAGCGGCTAGAGAGAAGAATATGACATATCCGCGTGTTGAATGTGCCAATAGTCGAGTAGCAGGTATGTCTTACAACCATGGTATACTCATGAGCAGCGCTGCACTACTATACAACATTACAGCTGATAAGAACTATCTACAAACAGCTATCAGTCTACTGGAGTCTGCTCTGGTGAATCTCACGGACGTCACAGGAGCTATGGTAGATGTGCAGAGAGGATCCAGGGCTTCGGCGTACGGCTGTGGAGAGGGTGATCCTGGAAGTGATTTCTTCAGCTTCAAGGGTATATTTGTAATGTACCTCGGTTACACTGTCCAGACACTGACGGATTCCAATGTACTGCCAGCTCCTTTAGCCTCTACTGTGCGCGACTTCCTGGACATCAACAGCGAGAACGCCTGGGAACAAGCCAGGGTGAAGCCGCCATTCAAGAAGAAGAGGATTGACGACATCTGCGCTCTCTACCCCTATCAGCCAAGTAAGCACTCCAACGTGACTCAGCCGAAATTCCACTGGTGGTGGTCGCAAGGCAACGGTTCCGTACAAACACCTCCGGACACACGGCTTTGGTTTACAAACGAGGGTATTGACTGCAGCTACGCCATGCACCACAACACCAGCAACAGTTCCAAACCCGCTTGGAGCGCGTACTTGTGGACTGGCATGACCAAGTCCGAGGCACAGTGTCGCGATCGCTGTGCAAACACCAGCGAATGCACAAAGTACATGTTTCACGAGCCATCACAGAGCGATTGCCCGTGTTTCACGTGTCAGGGCAAGGCATGTCACCAGCCACTCTGTGTGTACTGTGGTGTTGCCGGCAAGAAGTCTTGTCCTCACAAGAACTCTACAGGCTGTTATACCAGTGCATCGGATGCATGCACATGTACGGGCACACAGCCTTTCCCGAATAGTAACTGCTTCCTGTACCGGCTGACTACGGTTGGCAATCGTACCAAAATGGCAGCGTGTACGACGCCTGGTGATAACACCTATAAGATGGCAGTGAAGCGACCGTCACCACCAAATGTTCTTAACCCAGCAGCAAGCTGTCGTGGGCGTTGTGGCAACACAAGTTCCACGGTCAGAAACGGCACACACCTATTGAACATATCGTGTCAGTGTGATGCAGCGTGTTCTCGACATCTAGACTGCTGTTTGGATTACGTGGAGGAGTGCTTGCCGCCGGAAAAGCAAGACGCTACGTGCCGTGGAATGTGCCGATACCATAAACGCAAACCGAGCGCGCTGGACAACCAAGCTATTCCATTACGCGGTGGCGGGTACTGCTACTGTGACGGAACCTGTCTCAACTGGTTCACGGACAACAATAGTCTTGGAAGCTGCTGCGCAGACTACTTTGAACAGTGTGCTGAAACAGTGCGCGATCCTGTATGCCTGGATCCACGTAGTCAAACGCAAGCACTCCAACTGTTCGTCTCGCATCACGTTGTGCAGAACATCACGAACAATCTGTAGGAACATTGGCGTAACATTAACTCGATTGACTGGACAAGTCAGTTTTTATAGCCTTTGCACACTCACTTTGCTGAATAATCCAATATATTCGAGTCCCAGTGCAGTTTACTGGATGGTATAGTTTATTAACCATTAGTTACCAGAGTTCCCCAGATTGAACAGGCATGGCTTCCTTCTTGTGTAACTTCAAAATATGCACTGTGTGACAAATCAAGATGTCGTAACGAATATCCTTTGAACTGTTTATTGCTTGACCCAGACTCTGTCCATTTTGTTTTCCCTCTCAATCCTGTCTAACTTCATCTATACTGAGACCGGCATGATAACAAAGGTGCCGTTGAGATCAGCATGATCGCGATGCACTGTAACTGAGTGTCTGCATGCACCAAGAAAGGCCTGCCCTGGGATTTAATAAGGCATTGAGCACAGTCGGATCTGTGCATGAATGCTATGCATGCTTCTGGTGATTCTTGTTTCTAGCTGACAATGTTACAGTCCATTTCAAAAATATAGACGCATGGTATTTTTGAAATATTTCAAATTTGGCTGGAGCTTTTTGAGAATGTTTTTCAGAATATTGCTCAGGTCCTTTCCGCAAACACTCTCATATAGATTTTTAAGCGATCGGATAGCAAACGCCCAATTTCGAAATTTGCTTGCACAAAGTGATCACAGATTTTATGTGGTATAGATGCTGGCCTACGGTTTTTTGAAATCACGCGTCTATATTTTTGAAACGCACTGTAGGTGTGGTGATAATGACTGTGAACACAATACAGTGTGTATGTAGCTGATGGTTACATGCACGATGATTGGCAGTGAAGTGTTATGTGACTACAATACACACTGACATGCTTGTCACGTACAAATACCCCCCCCCCCCCATGGCTGGTTAAAATCGCCCACATCACATGTTTATTGGCACTATGTCATCGTGATTGTGGAATAATAATTTTAAAAAATGCGAGAATGGGTTCCTGCATACAAATGAATGCAAATACGCATTCTAATGAACGCAAGAATAGATATCACTTTCTTTTCCGAATGAAAACCACCACACCATGACTTTCCTCCGCAGTCTATGGGATCGCCATAATAAGCTTGTCGGTTGAAAGTATGATCTAAATGTCAATATCACTGAGAAGCGGATGAAGTCGTGTGTTCCAATAACAATGGAGTGTCAGATCAACCCTGCGGTAGATCAGTCTCTGTAACATCATGTCATGATGATGTCATCATGCCGGCGAGAAAAATCATGTGACATGAGTCACATGATGCCCGTGCCGGTGAGAGAGTTCATGTGACATGTCATGATCCCGGTGAGAGAGATCATGTGACATGATGCCAGTGCCGGTGAGAGAGATCATGTGACACTCTGCTCATGGTACACTAACCGTCATGTTCATCACAACATGATGAGCTATGAATAGCTGCAGGGCCTGAGTCTGCGAGCGTGGATCTAGGCAGACTGTATTCCTGGCCGCAGAGTCACACACCACGGCATGATCAGCACAACAGCTCCCATAGCTGTTGTTGTCAGTGTAGTAGAAGTTGCAAGATCCACCACAATAGCAGTATCCACCACCGGGTATGGGTATGCCCAGGTTATCAGCACCCTTACTTTTCTCCGGGTTTCCGCTGTTGCAGTGGCCACGGCATGTCGGGTTTTGCTCATCTGCTGGCATGCACTCTTCCACGTAGTCGAGACAGCAGTCGAAGTGTCGTGCGCACGCCGTGTCACACTGACAGGTGATGTTGAGTATGGCGGTGCCGTTTCGCACCGTACTGCTTGTGTTTCCGCAGCGATTACGACAGCTACTTGCCGGGTCATTGCTCCTGGGAGACGGTGGTCGCTTGATTCCCAATGTTGGAACATCACCCTGGCTGTACGTTGTGCACGCTGGCATAGTGGAACGATTGCCTTGCGTGACTAGACGGTACAAGAAGCAGTTTCCTTTGGGCATTGGCTGGTTGTCGGAACAAGCACAGGCAGAGGATGAACTGGTATAGCAACCTTTAGATGTCTTGTGTGGACATGTCCTCTTTCCAGCAGTTGAACAGTAGGTGCAGTTGGGTGGTTGGCAAGGTTCACCCGAACACCTAAAACATGGGCAGTTACTACTGGCGGAGTTACGGTACATATACTTTGTGCACTCGGTGTGGTTTGCACAATCTGCGCGGCACGTGTCAACACTGTCTCTGAATCCAACCCACAGTATAGGCTGCAGGTGCGATACGTTACTGCCAGTGTCGTTGTGGTATTCGTATAGGCATGCAATATCACTGTTTGTGAACCATACCCTGCCGTCCGGTGGTATCTGTAAAGAACCGTTGTCATTTGACCACCACCAGTGGAACTTTGGTGGTGCTGCCGCCGAGCGGTTTGCAATAGACATCTCCCCTACACTGCTGCTCAACGCACAAATATCCCCGCTACCTGTAAATGGTGCCTTGACTATAGCTTTGGTCCAGACATTTGCACTGTTGATCTCCAAGAAGGACAACAGCTTGGCATGTGCATCACTAGGCAGTGCATTGCTTTCGTAGAGAACCTGTGCAAAGTAGCCCAGGTGCATGACAAACACGCCTTTGAAACTGAAGAAGTCGCTACCAGGGTCACCGCCCCCGCAGCCGCCACCAATGCGAGCACCTCGCTGTGGATCTATCATGGCGCCAGTACTGTCCGTGAGGTTCTCCATAGCAGACTCTAGTAGACTGATAGCTGTTTGTAGATACTTCTTATCAGCTGTAATGTTGTATAGTAGTGCAGCACTGCTCATGAGTATACCATGGTTGTAAGACATACCTGCTACTCGACTATTGGCACATTCAACACGCGGATATGTCATATTCTTCTCTCTAGACGCTGACAGTGGGTGGCAGCAGTGCTGTGGGACGGCTCCTGTGCTCATTATCCCGTTCTCCGCTAACAATCCACGACCACCATCAAATGCAAAAATCCAGTCCCATATCTCCACGGCGCTTGCCATAAATCGGTTATGTTCTGTTGTTGATGTCAACACTTGTGCCAACTTGACTGCTGAGTACAGAGTTTCCACGATGGTAATACTATCTTTGAAGTGAAACTGATCTCCGATGTTCCACCAGAATCCCCCACATGACTGGTTGATATCAGCACGCAGGCGGTAATCCCATCCGTATTTGAACGCCCAGTCGTGGATGCCGGCAGCTCTTTCTCTCCATACCTCGTCACCAGTCCATGCGTACACTCGCAGATAAGCCAGAGCATACCATGCAAAGTCATCGACGTACACCGGGTGATGTCCTCCATCCCAGTAGCCATTGTATGGTGAATGCAACCACATAGACACTGCTGCATCGTGTATCTGGCCACACACGCCTGTGCTGTTAGGACTTCGACCAAGTTCCATGCAGTAATTCACCGAGGACTCCATAGCTAAAGCTGAGAACCAGCGAAAACAGTTTGTGCACGAATACGCCCAATCCGATTCACACAGGCACGTGTCCACGCTGCAGGACGCACCGAATGGTGCCAGTCCACCCATCTGTCCGCAAGAGAAGAAGAACTGGGCCGGAGTGTTGGAACCCGGTGGAGGGGTTCCTGGCGGCAGATCACACAGGCACGTAGAACTGGCTGTAGTATAACATCCATCACTGTTCTTAGTTGGACATCCCGATGGCTGGGTGGCACAATATGAACATTCAGGAATCGTACAATTTGATCCGTCGCAAGAGAAGCATGGGCAGTTGCTCGGTTTTGGTCGCGGCCTGTTCTTCGCCTCGGTCTGCAGGTAGTACTGCACCAGGCCGTCTAGCGTGATGCTCGCTCGCTCCATTGGGGAGGGTAGAGGGGTTGGCGAGGGTGCATGTGCTACATTCGGCGCGTTGCTCAGCACAACGATTGCAAGGCTGAACAGTAACCAAGCCATTTCAGACGACGAACAAAATCGCTGTACGAGTCTTTTCAACTAGCTTTGTGATCGAGAATGAATGAGATTATGTAACCATTATCAGACTAAAGCTCCTTCGTTGAACAGATCCTTACGCGGAGACCTGGTAACGAAGCAAAAGAAAGATCATTCGAACTTTCCAAAATGATCTATGAGTATGAATGAACCTTTTACTGTTTTAGGTCGACAGCGTAGAATCAAGACACGGCCAAGGATCTACCCATGTGCTAAGCCTCTTCGCCTTCGGTCCGGTCTGGTTCTATCCCCATACATTTTGAAACACATGCCAGCAGGCTTGAGTCTGAAGTTGAGACAAGGGACCAGTCAGATTTCTGCCCTCGTGATTTGAGGCGCAAATTTTCGGCGTCTTCGAACAAAAACAGAAATAAAACTTGGCAAGGAAACCTCTGAGTCTTTTACACTAGGTTCGCACTAGTGACTGGTGACTGAAATGCAGTAAATGCGAAAGTTCACACGCTGTGAGCAACCACAAAACTAGCGTGTTACTTCCTTCAAGCATCGCGCTGGAGCTGAAAGCAGTGAAGGAAACACTTCGAACGGTCACCTCCACCCCGGACGTGAGACTAGCTAGTTTGGAGGAGAAAGAGTTGCGAACTGGCAAGGCCTTTATGGTTCATCACGTCAACTCTTGTTCCACACATACACGTCCACGTAGTGTAGGTGTAGACATCAGTCTTGAGTCGTTGACGCAACACTGCATGCAGTCTGATGTTACATAATTATTGTAGCGAGGTGTTGAACAGTTCGTTGGTGCCGGAAATGGATCGGAGGAACTCTGCGGTTACGCGTCCATGGTTTGGAGTAGTAGTAGTAGTAGTAGTATTTATTATTTGACTAGGGGAGTCCCAACAGGCATGGCCTTGTTACAGGGAACCCTAGGTGAATCTTTGTGAGGTGAGCAAAAGTACCAGCAGATTGTGCCTGACGACAGTTTGGAGGAAGAGTGTTCCACCGACCTGCCGCCAGAAAAGAAACTGAGCGCAGTCCATACCCAATATGTACAGTAGGTAATACTAAGGCAGCTGTATCCTGGCCACGAGTACGAGCATTTGTGTGCGGGCCAACTGAACGCAGGAGAAACAGTGACTGAAGGAGGGGGCTAGTAATTGATGACAAGCAGCGATAGACCAAAACGTATAGTTTCAAATTAACTCGTTGCTCAAACGAATACAGATGACACCGTTGTAAAACTAATGCAGTTGGGGTCATTCTGTGTGAGTGAATGTGACACAGCGTGATGGTGGAAAAGAAATTTCTCACTGGGTGTACGTACTCCAAATATTAAAAGATACAGCGGGACAAAGAACCTGTCTAATGTGTGTAAAAAAAACTGTGCATAGTCAGTAGCCACTTTGAATGCACCCGGGCATACATACCCATACCAGTGTATCATTCTGTGTAGATCATTATGATGCCGCTGTTCTCTTCAATACAGTGATGTACGCTGGTTTGCCTTTGCTCTTCCTGTGCTCTTGCTATTAATTATTTGTATTGTATTTGTTGCATTTTATGATTGCAAGTCAAACGGGCAATCATGACCAATGTTATGGTGACGATGGAAGGGGAGAAAAGATTTTAAAATCAGATAACCTGGATAAATGGAGTGAAGAAAACAATGAGCCTTGGAATCTCTCAGGGTAAGGATCATCTTATACTGATGCACTCTTGTTTGTTGTTTGGTCACGTGATGCAGGTTTCACAGCATGCAGCAGAACTTCAACTCTGCCAGGGTCAGCTGTCCCAAGAGAGGCTACAGAGAGAAGAGCTGATTGGATCATGCAAGCGACTGGAGCATGACAAGCAGCAACTGGCTGCCAACATGAACCAGCGAGCAGACATGGACCAGCAAAAGTTGTCAAGGGCACTGAAGGAAAGATCACAACTCGAGGCGGCGCATGAGAAGCAAAAGGAGCAACTCGCCCGGGTAAGGTGCTTTGCAGCCCTGAAGGCTACACCAGGGGCAGGTCCAGGGGGGGGGGGGGGCGCTGAACCCCAAACATTTCGCAATGTACTACTGGAATCCATATGCATGTACATGTATGAGCTATTCAGTTCTGTATAAACTGGAACCCTCTGTAGAGATCTCTGGATCTGCCCCTGTATAAGACAGGTAGTGTTGGAATATCCAGAAAGTCCTTGTGTATGTATTATGTGTATGTGTGTGTGGGGGGGGGGGGGGGTGGGGGTGGAGAGAATTTCTAGATGTTCAAGCGGCTGCATTCTTGTGTGCTTTTCTGTGCACAGATGAAGCAGCAACATGAGAAGCAATGGCAGAGTGAGGTTGAGCTGACTGAGAAACTTACCCAGTCTAACGCAGACTTACTGTTGTGTCGGAAAGAGTTACAGGTGAGTGGTGTTGTCAGTATTACTGTAAATATACATTTTGGCAGCTATTTCCTTTCGGCTATATTCGGCACCGACCCAAAGTGCCAATATTGCAACGCTGATGATTTTTTCACATCAGCTTTGGTGATGTACTAGTATTAGCCCCGTTCAGTGAATAAATCGCTGCCGAAGTGTCGATGAGAGGTGCATGGAAAATCTTGGTCATCCGTTTGCTGAACACTCAAGGGCAAAGGAGGAATAGAGTGCATTGATATTAGGGCAAACGACGAAGGTTGCAAAGATGAAGGACTGACTGGAAACTCTGTACTCGGAGTTTCATGTTGTTGTTGTTGTCGTCATTGTCGTCGTCGTCGTCGTCGTCGTTGTTGTTGTTGTTGTTGTTGTTGTTGTTGTTGTTGTTGTTGTCTTTGTCGTCGTCGTTGTTATTCTGCAGGAGAAACAAGAAGAGTTAGCCCACGTAGAACTGCATTTAGAGGAGGCAAAGTCTCAGGTTCATACCAACGAAGTACAATGCACGGACTTGAAGAACATCGTGGCACGACAAAAGCAAAGCATGATGCAGAGAGCATCCCAGGTAGGTGTTGAGCTGACCTGTCCTGCATGTACTACATGTACTACATGCATGCACCACTTCCCTATGAGCTTTTGCCAGAGCCGGTTTGACCGTAAATATCTGCAGGCTGTAATTCACTTGAATCCCTGAGTTTGAGTGGATCTCAATAACTGTGGTGACTGTTCCAACCTTGGTGAAGAAGCTTGATTATGGAAGATGATGGAGGCCTGGTGCTCTCTTTTGCTGTCTCTGTTGCAGTATCATGGCACACTATCGTTGGGGTAATGGAATTTCAATTGATGTGCTCACATTGTATGCCATTCTCTTCCCTGTCTGTATGTGTGTGTGTGTGTGTGTGTGTGTGTGTGTGTGTGTGTGTGTGTGTGTGTGTGTTTGTGTGTGTGTGTTTGCATGTGTTTGTGTATGTATTCGTATGCATGTGTTTGTATGTGTTTGTGTGTGTGTGAAAGGTCAACCAGCTAGTTTTGAATGTACAGAACTCACAGAGTAAGCAGCAAGATGAAGTTGACTCACTTCACAGTGAAATACAGCAGCTGCAAGCACAGCTGCAGACAAGCCAAAGAGAGTGCAAGACATTTGCCCAGGGCCTTGAGTCAGCAAACTCAGCGCTTCAGACCGCAAGGTAGGTCAGATGTTATTCTCTCAAAGTACTACAGTATGATCAGGCCCCGTAGAACACTTAGGCTGGAAAATGGCACAAATTGAAGAACAATCCAGGCTAGATTTGCAGATCTAAAAACACTTGTACTGCTGTAAACGTGGTGTTATCGCATCGCATGATGCTCTCTATGATCGCGGAATAGGAACAAAACACTAAAATCTGAACATTTTAGAACAATGCCTGGCTGCGCCTTGAGCCCCTGCGTTCTTCTGCGCCCGATCTTACTGTACCTCTACTCTGCACATGATGCCCACAAGTTACCGGTGCTTGGAACAAGCAGTAAGATATCCTCTCCTACGTGATGAACACTGTCACTGACTGGCCCATAATGTTACTGTGCATGTCATGTTTCTGTGGGCAACTCTAAGTCATGTAACGCATTGGCATTTCAATAACAAAAATACCTGTAGCAGTTGACTCTTGGAGTGCTGCTGGATGTTATATCGAATCATGATTTGTTGTACCCGTAAGATGTGTCTGCTAGTTCTCTGATGGGTTATTCCGGGTGTTTGCGGCCGCCGTGAGTTGCCTGGGGAACGGAGATGAAAATTTACTTTCCTCTAATGTGTGCCTCTTGTCTTTCTTTGACACTGGTTTTTTTCCAATCATTGCCTTTTGTGTTTTCATCCAAAGGGAGAAGCTATCCAGCGAGAATGCTGAAAAAGAAAAGGAGAAAGGAACGACTCAATCATTGCAGTCATCTCTTGCTGATTCCAAACAACAAATGCAACAACTGGAAGCTCAACGTGATCGTCTCAGGGTGGAGCTTTGCAAGCAGCAAGCAGAACATGAGGAAAAGGTACGGATCTCATGGCGATGACCCCACCACTCTTACCCTGTATTCCCTTTGATAGGCATTCATTTGCCTTCGAAGAATCCTCGAAACCGAACGCCAATGTCAATGAAGAAAGCGTCTAAAATGAATTGACACTCGATTTACTCACGACTGCGTCTGGAGCACACGAATCACAAATCACTTTCTTCACAAATTACCGCCGATGTCACAATATCTTGGCTCGTCGATATCAATGAATGAGCCATTATGAGAGTTTATTGTCTCTTTGCGGATGCTATGTCACTTTGATCACCCCCCCCCCCCCGACCCCCAAAAAAGGAAGGAAAGATGAACAAGCAATGTAAAATAATAATTATGCTGGTAAAGGGTTAACATCATGCCTGAGCTCTGTGCTGGATTCTCTAGACCTTTGCTCAGTGGTGTGCCGGCGTCTGGAGCTTCACACCCTTGCTTGGAATGACTCTGCGTTTCAGCTATTTTCTGATTGTACGTCTTCTCTCTTTTGCGTGGAAAGGCTCTGTGCTCCACGCTTTGAGCGCTTTCCTGGCAGCTGCCACAATCCTCTGTGCAGAGAGACCATTCTAAGGGTATGTCTGCATATTAGGATAAGCCTATGTGCATGTGTTTGTACATGTGTTTGATACAGAAATGCCAACTAGAACAAGCTGAGTTGAAGAGGCAATCCGCGGAGAAGAAATGCTCCGAAATGGAGGAGAAACTGCGCGACATTCACCATCGGCTCACCACTACATCAACAGCCAACAAAGCACTCACTCAGGAGCTGCATAAGACGAGTACAATGGCGAACAGCATTACAAAGGATGGGCAGGAAGAGGTCAGTGTGAGTCGAGTCCAACACTTGGAGAGTCAATTAAAAAGGATTCAAGGGGAATATGATCGTCAGGTGAGATTGACAAGACTATTCTGCCTTTTTGCAAACGGTGATGATACTGGCGACTGCCAGAATGGTCAGAAACTCTGCTTGCCCAACATTCCTGCCATCGCTTTCCTTGTGGGTGTAGTTCGTTTAAGAAAGGGCTTGTATCTTCTTTTTGAAAACGTGTCGTGTTCTAAAACGCATTTTCCTGTGTGTGTCCTGTTGCTATGGAGATGAATGTAAGGAACTAGTCTGGTCATAGCTGGCACATACTATCCCATATATGGAGCAGCTTGATTCCACTGTGCACTGTTTCTGCTGCCCAGGTTGGGGAACTACAGACCAAGCACAGTGACATGTTGCTAACCCTGGAGCAACAGGACACAAAGTATCGACTTGAGATCACAACACTGGCGAACGTGATCGATACGCTCAGGAAACAAGAGGCGGAGGCTCAGCTCACAGCAGCGCAGTGCAGCGCAGAGCTTGTGCGCGTCAAGAAACAGCTACATCGTCATCAGCAAGAAGCGCAGCTCAACGATTCCACCATGAAAGAGGTGGACTTGAAACTCAGCCACCTGGAACGCAGTGTTGCAAAATCTACAACACAGACCAATACAACTTGAGCACACAAACATTCCTCCCTCAGCTACAACTTGAGCACACGAACATTACTCCCTCAGCTTTACTTGAGCGGTTTGAAAAATCATTTCTAGTTAAATAGCTGGAGATTTTGTTGTTCAAACTGATGACTTTTGTTGAATAGTTATTTCTCCAATATCTCTGTTTAATCTTAAAATATATATCCTTACATTGTTTTTGTGGTTTCTGGTGAAGTCAGTTGTTCTCCATGTTAATTATTATCTTGCAGTTGATGCATGGTGCTGTAACTCCTACTGTCGGTCACATTGTTGTTCCGTGTTTGTTCTTGTGGGTGTGGGTGTGTGTGTGGGTGTGTGGGTGTGTGTGGGGGGGGGGGGTGTAGGATACTGTCCTCAGGCACCATCAGAACTAACACCCACGCCCATGCACCTCGGGTCACTCCCTGTTGATAGTTTCACTCATGCGGCTGTGTTTGTTATGTTTGGTTTGGCTATGTACCGGTATGGCTATCATCATTCCATGTATCATCATTCCGTGTTGTGCGTCTTTGTGGGGTGTTGGATTATTGTGGGGTGTGGGATGTTGGGCTGCAGTACTTTGTTGGGTGTCACTGTGCCTGTGGTGTGTGAATAGGACAATGTGGCCTCTCCCAGTTCACAGTGCAGCCTGGAAAGTCATTGATCTGTAAATCGGAGCTTGGTACCCTCACAGTAGAATCTGATATAAGGATGATCTCAGTTGAAGCTCTCTGCATGCTCAGCCAAGGCATTGTCCATGGCATACTGATGATCCTACAGTTTCATTCTTTCTCTGTCACTGTGTGTAGCCCGTCATAGACAGATGATGTGAGCATAACTATGAGAGCAAAATCAATGGCCTCAAAGTTCAAACTGATCATTCTTCTGCTCAGCTGATGGGAATCATCGTGATCGCCGGTGCACCCGATCAGCTCTGCCCCAGGACACTACATCACGTGCCAACCTGAACCTCCATCGTGGGAGAGAACAGCTTTTGTCAGCTTGCCTGCTGAGTGATGATGATGTCAAGCAGGGAGTAATACTAATACTACTTGTAAGTTGTAGTAGATCTACCTGATGTCAAGTCGCCGGGGCAACCATACCTGCAGACTTGCCAACACTGCAGTCTAACTGTCTATACTAACCCCTAACAGTCAGTGGGGCTAACTGGTCGGCCCAGCCCAAGTCAACACTCAAGGCAAGAGATCTCGAGCTTTGGGTGCTGTCTGGCTAGGTGAGTAGACCTTGTGTCGTTGTGATGTGAGTGCCACGAATGCGCAAGGCGAAGCTAGAGAAGTTGAGGTTGGCCACTGTTTGCCTGCTGGCGTGAACCATTGTGACCTCTCCTGGGAGTGTGCCAGCGTCTGGCAGCAAGTGTCAAGAGCATCCGATACCATTTCGCACAAAGCCGACACGGTGACAGCCCATCCGTGTCCGTAGACTATCGTCAGTATCCAGGTATCTATCTACAGCCAAGATGGCCATGCAGACATCTGCAGATCTACACGACTATCCGCGTACATGTAGCTGGAGTTGTCAGGTAGAGGGTCTACCGTCTACCATCCTCTGATCCTGGCCTGGCCGTAGACATTATACAACTGCAAGTAAGTATTGTAACTTGTACAGCGTGTAGTGTGTATTTCAAGGTGGTGTGTATTTTAGTGTGTTGAGTTGACCTGTCGTGTCGTGCGAAGACTGTCGTCGTCGCCTTGCTTCTTGCTAAGTAATGCTGTATGGTATTGGTACTATGGTCGCCTGAACCTACGTCACCATACCGGCATGCGTGGAACTGCAAGTCCTACCGATCTCCTGGATGCAATGGTATGGTGACAGACTGGATCGGGACCAGTTCTCACGCATCGTCTCACCTCAGACCTGCTCAGTCTCACACTGTCAATGTCACTGTCACCGGCGTCATTCTCACACACACACACACACACACGCCACGGCCACGTACCGGGAAACTGGGCAAGAGCAGCGGAACTGTCCTTGCCTTGCACAGTTCTCGCTTGCATGTTGTCCGAGAGAGTAGACGAAGATTCAGCTCACGCTTTCCGCGTTGCTGAATCGGACTATCCCTGATAAACTCAACTCGATGTTATCTCGATAGATCGAATTAGAACATTGGAATAGGAGGAAGCTATTCGTGATCAAACTTGACGCCGCTCGCAAAGAGCTCAGACAACGCTTCTTGAAGCTTGTGAAAAAGAGTCTGGAACATTATTTTTTAGTCAGTCTCATTCTACTCAAACACAACGTCAGGAGCTGAGAGAAACAAACAATTGCAGGGTCGATACCCTCTCGGACGCAGGTTCTCGGACCGAAGGAAAGCCACAAAGGCTGCTCCAGTCACCGCAGCTCGTTCTAAGCCTCCTGCAACCCATACCAGTCGAGCATCAGCCCAAGGAGGAGGCAAAACAATGACAAAGAAAGATTCTCGCCGGAGCGGACATGATCACGCCTTGGTCTCTCAATCAATGGTATGTCTGCCTGGTCGTGAGTCCACACAGCATGGCGATGGTGGTCATCAAGATGGCATGGTAGTGTTACGTGCCGATGAACTACGGGAAGCGCTTGAGAGCAGTAGCATGGTGACGCTGACAGATCGCGTGGAGTCCTGGCTGAGGTTGACCGGGTCTAAAGATCAGGAGAGCAAGCAGCCTATCGATCTGCTGCCAAAGCCATCCCAGGGCATGGGGCAATCCGGCACTCGTAGAGCCAGGCCGGGGAGGCATCGTTCACGTCCTGTTTGGAACCAATCGACTTGCATCACGCCTAAGGTACTTCACGACGTATGCCTGTGATGTGATGTTCTGTTAGAACAGATACCTTGCAGTCTCAGACACCTACACACCTACTTACACAGCGGGTCATTGAAACTTGACATAGAAATCCTAGGCTAGGGTGGATCTACACCAGGTACACCACCCGGCGCACTGCGGCCCTGCATTTGTGTAACAAAGACTTTTTTATTATAATTGATGTGTTGAAGTGATTCTGAGGGGTTGAAGATCTTGTGGCAGGGACTTGTAAATGGTAACCTTTTGACATTATGCTTGATAGCCAGTTCTCTTCCTGTAACAGAGTATTGAGGAAATTGGCGTCGTAATTATACTGCCCTTATCTGTTTGTATGTGTACGCACATGTGCATGTGCGTTTGTGTGTGAGTCCATGTGTGTACATATGTGTATGACATTGTGTTTGTGTGTGTGTGTGTGTGTGTGTGTGTGTGTGTATGTGTGCGTGTGTGTATGTATATGTGTGTGTGTTATTCTAGCCACACAATGTATCTCAGCTACCCATACTACCCGTACATGGCCATAGTTGCTCATGCGTGGGATGTGAGCGCATCAAGAAATCACGGCATACACAGCAGAATGATTTGAGTAGCAGCTCCAAGAAGCGCCTCACCTTGCCAGCCATTGGACTAAGCGGTACGTTTAAAACCCTTTCCAGGTGTCAAATTTGTTCTGATCTCAAGATTACTTCTAAGAATACCTCAAGGTGCGTTTCCACACACTAATGTGACTATTAGAAAGACCATCATGTTATATGCAATAGGGAGTACCATATTCTCATAATCATGTTTTGTTGGTTTTTCTTTCTTTGTAGGTGGACAAAGCAAGAAACATGTGCGATCATCCACATTCCCAGCAACCATCAGCGATCAGCAGAAGCTTTGGCCTCCTGTAAGAACTGAGCGGCACTGCGTGACAGTACACAATAATGATGTCAATCGTGTTAGCATAGGATATCGGCAAGGGTGTCTATCTCAGTGCCGTTCATCACTTGTGATTCTCCTGATCTTAGACTGAAATCTGTTCCTCTGTGGTGTCAAGTTATTGCTGCTCGGTACTAATGATCGGCAATACAGTGGCATTACAGTGGCAACACAGTGGCATTACAAACTGGGAGCAGAGTTCAGATGGACAGCATGGAGATAGATAACCGTGTGCCTCTGTACTACTTCGAAGTAAATGCATGCTTGCCAAACATGGATGGATTTTGTTTTCCAAGAGTGCTGCAAATAATTGATGTTTCCCAAGTAGCAAAGAAAGGAAACGTCCTTGCATCTGTGCTCCGGACATGTGTCATTTTCCATGTTCTGTGGTCTGGATGTACAAGAAATTCCAGACATGGTCTCCACTCTGTGTATCCTCTGCATATTACCCGCAGCAGCAGCATCATCGTCAGCATGGTTCCACCCAGTCACAGTTGGTCACAGGCAACCGTACAAGCGTGCACGATCACGACAGGTGTGTGAACATTATACATTCATATGCAGTGGAAGAACTGAATTCAGTAGTAGCTCTTGTATGTGATATTTTATATCTGAGCAGAAAATGAGCAGCTCAGTGTCCATCCTTTGTACAAGACTAAAACCTATACTTCTCATTTGAAACATCACATTCCCCGTTGCTCTGGATATCCTACAAAATGTCCACATGTATTGCAGAAATGCTAAATTCAGGTAGTACAATGTAATGTTTGGTCTTCAGGGGATGTTTTGTTGACCCACCTGTGTTCATCAATGAGTGGTTACTATTAGCTGGATAGTCAGTGAATCGACTGAGCATTCACAACACGTTTGGTTCTTTCACTGATGAACTCTGCTGAGCCCGTGTGCAGTAACCCCTCGGCTTGTCAACCGAAGTGAACATATTTGCGCTTTAGCGTAATGTTTAGATCGGCATTCTGCAGTATGTGCAGCCTCCACTGTAGCCATCCATCCTGCCCATTAGGGGTGAAACGAAGTAGTCGAAGGTTCGAAGGACCTTCGTTTTCCTTTGAAACGAACCTTCGTTTTTGATTCGAACGAAGGTCGACACGGGCTTACCGCATGCATCAATGCATTGATCTTGTGCGATGTACTCATACTGCATGCACTAGCATTGTACATGCTGTACTACAAGTAGGGGCACGGTCCGCGTGCGCACCGGAACTGAAGAAGTGACAAGTCAGTGAAGAACTGGCCCTGTTCCAGTCACCAGCGTGTTCCCGTTTTGCGTTGGTGTGTAGATCTACCATGGTGTACTCATGCCGAGTCATGGATGACTTTTTTGATTGTATTCGTCGAGTGTTTGGCGCTCTGCGATACTAGTACTAGTAGTAGGAGTATAGTTTTGCGATTTCGATCGTGTTTTCGCTCAGTTATGCTGCTTGTACCAGGAATATAGCTTGCTGTAGCTTCCGTTGATATCTTCTAGTTATGGTGTCTGGAGAACGTTTTAGCAGCGATACGAGTGTAGTCTCATAATTTGAATCGAAAATAAAAGTTTGCATCGCTGAAGCCATTGCCGTATTCACTCTCCCAGCAGCAGCGAGAGGGAGCGCAGCGATGGCCTGAAATCCTCGAGGCAGGTGAAGTTCTCACCAAGTGACTATTCACTCTACTCTCAATCACCAATGCACCCGCTCGATGCGAGCAGATACTAGTAAGCGAAAAGTACATGTCCAGATTTGACAATTTTTTGATGAAGTTGGGTATCTGATATATACTACGCAATATAGCTCTTTTCCGTCCATTTTGGTATTGTTCAAGCACGCAACTGGCTGTACACTAGAGCAGTGATCTCTTGTCGCTTTGTGTCAAACGGCCAAGGCTATCAAGTCTGTACACGATCCCACCAAATACACTGATCTAAATTGTCAGAAATATGGACAATTGACTCACAAACAGGTATTAGGTATGGCCTCTATCAAGAGTATGTTAAAACCTTGCCTCTATCTATAGTTGTGAGCTGGGCCAAAGTATTTTCTTACCTGGAATGGATACATTGATACCACCAGATCAGAAACAAATTGCACATACAATTATGTAAGTATTGGGTTCTGATTTTTGCCCCTTTTTATTTTCAAGATTTTTGAGCGTTTCCGTGATCATGTTAAAAAGAATCCTTCGACACCTTCGTTCGCCTTAATAAAGAAGGTTCGAATGGGAATTTGAGACCTTCGTTTCACCCCTACTGCCCATGCATCCTCACAGCGCTCCTTAAAATGGTCTCTGGGCTACACCAATCAATGAAAATGAAAAGGGATCCGAGCCCGGAGACAGTTTGAAGAGTATTGTGAGGATGTGTGGTTCAGCAATCCGAAGGGAAAATGTTGGTTTATCATATGCTTTTTGTGTATTTTTGAAGCAAAATATGTTAACAATGACGTACTCATACCTCTAAACCGTGGATGTCTTATTCTTGTCATATTGCGTCTCTTGTGTCTTCCCTGATTTAGGTTTATGAGGCACTTGCCTGGTATTCCAGAGTCGCAGCTGACCAAGTCTATGGGCCCGATCACCGACAGACAGGCTGAACTGCTCTCCTGGGCTAGTGACAACAAGAAACCACCGGCTGCAGTCACTGGCATGCCACAGGGTCCTGATGATGTTAGGCTGATTGCCACTGGAACACATGGACCGGTAAGTGAGCGGCAACTGTCATTACCGGTTGCTACTGGGTGTTCCCTTAGGAACTTTTGCGGATTTAATACATTTGAATAAGATAAGAAGGGAGTTACAGCGCTGCTCAATGTAATTCGATCGTGTGAATCATGTTTGCACCCTGCACCAGTTCACATTTTGCAAGTCGAGCTAGGGCTGCACAGCACCCAGCATGGCATTCAGTTGCTCGATGGAATTTCATTGAAGAGTACTGCATCTTAAGACAACCCACATCTTCCTTTATTTCCGGATAAAAAGAACTTCAAGTCTGTACAATGGATTGGTGAAAGAGGGGAATTCTTAGTACTTTTAAGAGTTCATCTTTGAGGTATTTTGTTTGTGTGCCTGTGTGTGATGTTGACATCTTGTATTGTAGATGTTCACCAGACCAAGCAACCGACCTGTTACAGTACAGAAGCCGGTGGTGGGCGCACGCTTTCCCAAACAGCCAGCAACACTGCCTCCAATAGAGCCATTGGCCCAGGCACATGGCAAAGATGACAGTATCCCCAAACCAAATACTATCCAGCAGCTTTCATCACACAAGCAAACACCCAGTGTGTGCCTTCGAACAGAGAAAGCTAAGCAACAGACTGTTGATGAGCAAGAAGGAAGGACACCAACAGACTATGGAGATGCTGAAAGCATGGACAGTTTCCGCAGCGATAGCTTGTCTAGCCATGGCTTGGAGCTATACAGTGACGACGAGGAAGATGAATACTTTGATGTGTCCGACCTCGTCACGGCTGCGCAAAGTCCGTGTGAAGCCCCTGCCAAGGACACCGATGTACTTCAACAACATGGATTGAAGCTGCAAGAGCACAAACAAGACGAAGGACTTGCGTCCGGATTTCCCGTGCGAAGAGCACGTAAAGAGGAGCTGCAAGACTTGCAGCAGTTTGCCGAGTGGGCAGAGCGGTTTGGTGGTGGTATGAAGGGCATGTCAATTGCCAGTCTCATGCAAGACTGCCGAGAAGCACGACATGATGATCACCATGGTGATATGAGGTATGCTTGTTTTGCTGCTTGTATAGTGATGCCGACAGCATATGATTTGCAAATACAGTAAAACCTGTCAAGGCGACCACTCGGATACGGCGACCACCTGCCCCAGAAGACCGCTGCAACCAGGACCAAGAGATGCGATTTCCAGTCAAATGACCCTGGATAAGGGACCACGTTTTGAAGGTCCCTTGAGCGGCGGTCGTCTTAGATAGGTTTTACTGTGCACACAACACAGGATGTTTCTTCTGATATGAAGAAAGTGACCGTCAAGATTTGTACATGTATCTGAAGCATTGCCTAGACAAATGGGAATCTTAGAATAAGGTGATTGCTCCAAACATTGGAGATCACGCTTCCCACCGGCTGTCTGACACTCGGCTGACTCACGACTGCCTGTAATGTCCGCCCAAGTCGCAACATCTCATTTCAAAATAGGAATCAGTGAGCTGTTTCCAATGCACTTATGAAGTACAGTGCATTGTGAAGACAAATGATATCATGCTGAATACTGCTAGTTTACTAACATAGATCTGTGTGTATGTGTGTCTGTGTGTGGGTGTATGTGTGTTTCCGGTCTTCACAGCAGCAGGAACAAGCCATCTGTAACTGCTAGGCGTGCAGCACAGAACGTCGAGAGAAAACTGAGCCAGAAGCAAGAGAACCAGCAGAAACTCAGGTAAATCTTCTCACTTACGGATCAGGATAACAGTCAACACGGTTGTGTGTTGTTTTGTTGTGTGCCGAATGCCGGGTGCCCATCCACAGCCCAGTGTGTGTGTGTGTGGAGGGGGGGGGGTGTATGCATGTCGTACACGTGTACACATCCGTGTGTTGGGGCAGCTCAGCGCGGCCAAGCATGAGCTGCCTTGTTTCCATTCAGAAGTGCTGTGTATGAATGAGAGCCTATAAGCCATTCAATGGAGTTTCGTGATACTTGTGGTGGAAGTAGTGCATATCCTGTGTTTCCATGAGATATGTGAGTATACAACAACAGCCTGTACTTGTCCTAGCACATTATTGTATTGCAATCGCGACATTGCCCAATCCTGCTACTGTGTTATAGCCAGTTTAAAAGAGTAGGGTGGCACGGGAAACAGTTACCCCACAGTCCATTTTTTTCATTTTCCAAAATTGTCTTGCCATGCAAAATACAATGTACGGGGCGAACCCTGGATGCAGCCAAGACAAATATGCCTTTTGAGCCCTCTAGTAGTGACTATTGACTGCATTTTTTGGTTAAATGGCGTGAAAATACACAAAAATCTTCAAATTAGTAGAGGGGGTCTCAATCAGAGTAGGAGGGTGCTGCGCTTCCCCCCCCCCCCTCCTTTGGCTAGAACCCTGCTACTAGTATTGATTAACAACTATGATGTTGAAGTGTCAAACTCTAACAAACTGACCATCAGCTGTGTACTGCCTGCATGTGTGTGTATATCTCTAGGGAGATTGAGCGCATTCGCAAAGAGCTGATCTCCATGCGTCAACGCCATGCCTTGCAACAACAAGAGGCTGCCATCCAGCAAGAAGTGAGGAGGTCGATGATATTCCAAGCGGTTGGAGAGCCAATCACGACCTGTGAGGTAAGCTGTGTGTGTGCACCGTGCAAATACCCCCCCCCCCCCTCTCTCTCTCCTGTGAGAATGACTACAGTACTGTCGGGCACCAAAGAATGGAGAGCTGAAGAATGGAGAGCTGAAGAATGGAGAGCTGAAGAATGGAGAGCTGAAGAATGGAGAGCTGAAGAATGGAGAGCTGAAGAATGGAGAGCTGAAGAATGGAGAGCTGAAGAATGGAGAGCTGAAGAATGGAGAGCTGAAGAATGGAGAGCTGAAGAATGGAGAGCTGAAGAATGGAGAGCTGAAGAATGGAGAGCTGAAGAATGGAGAGCTGAAGAATGGAGAGCTGAAGAATGGAGAGCTGAAGAATGGAGAGCTGAAGAATGGAGAGCTGAAGAATGGAGAGCTGAAGAATGGAGAGCTGAAGAATGGAGAGCTGAAGAATGGAGAGCTGAAGAATGGAGAGCTGAAGAATGGAGAGCTGAAGAATGGAGAGCTGAAGAATGGAGAGCTGAAGAATGGAGAGCTGAAGAATGGAGAGCTGAAGAATGGAGAGCTGAAGAACTGTCAGCCTAAAATTTTACCAAGCACAGCATACCAATCTATACACCGTGACTCAACTGTGCATAGACTGTAATGCGGTCTAGGCCAGTTCTTCAGCGACGGAAAGTACTGTACAAGCTATGGTTCTGCTGCTGTCAGCAAATGTGTAGTGATGTGTTTTTGTGATGCAGTGATGCTGTGGTGCAATTCTTTTGTTTTGTGATGTGTTTGAAGTTTTGCAAAGTTTTTGGAGAGCAGATCTTGTAAGCTACAAATCATCACTCCACCACTCCACAATGCATATCGCCATAGAATTGCACCAGTTTTGCCCTGTGTAAGATTCTTTCTCCCCACAGTCATTATATTACTACTTCCACTACCATGCTTAGCTACTTTGCTGGAGTGATACATCTGTCTGCCAGGTCTGACAATTTCGATAGCTCGGTGGGATTTTCCTCGCTGTAAAAGGAATGTGCAGGCGGTGTGGGTCTCCTGAAACTGTATTGTGAAAATATCTCTCTTCAGCTTGTCAGCTCAAATAAATTACAGAAGGCGTCTCCTCTGCTGCTGCTTGTGTAAATGTCATTTGCAATTGCTCTATCATTGTTGTGTATGGTCGTGTGTGTGTGTATGTGTGTCCGTGTGTGTGTGCGTGTGTGTGTGTTTGTGTAAATCTGTGTGTATGTGCCTGTGTGCATGTGCCTGTGTACATGTGCCTGTGTGTGTGTGTGTGTGTGTGTGTGTGTGTGTGTGTGTGTGTGTGTGTGTGTGTGTGTGTCTGTCTGTCGACAGGATCAAGCGTGCAAACTCTCTACGCACACGGACACCGTGTCAGTTGAGGACTCGGTCAGTCTAGGTATCATGTGATCACACCGCTGCAGCAGCACTGCGGGACACCACACTGCTGCATACTTGCCAAGCTGAAATACAGCTCTTCAGTTGCCATGGTTACCTGCAATGCAGCAGCAGTGAGAGCTAGACTAAGCAAAATGCGTGTCTATTCGAGTCGGTGGTTATATATTTCGATTCCCACTACGGTACTCAACTTTCGTTCTTACTAAATTATACTCTCACTGGTTCAAAACACTGGCCTCTGGTTTTTTTGGCTTTTTCTGCTTTTCTTTATCTCTCTTTCCTTTTTGCATACTGTGACAATCCACAATTCAGTGGACGAAACATTTTCCTATTCTTCTTTCTCTACCTGAATTACTGCCGTGGACATGGAAATCCGGTCGCACGTCTAGTGGCCCAGGGCACTGGCCATGCAGCCGTGGATAAGCGGTACATACATGCATTTATGCGCTGCAGCGTGCTGGTCGTATTGGATCAGCAAGTAAGTGCACTGCACGCAGCGTTCTGAACGCGCTGAGGGCGCCGGCCCCGGTCCGGCAATCGACTGGATTTCCATGTCCGCTACAGTAGTTAAAAAAAGCATTATCAGTGTATGTATTAGTCTTGCATTTCTCAGTTTAGATTCTCTTAGCCTAGCTCAAACTTCACGTTTTACTAGTTAACAGTACATAGCCCAGTTTCGTTGTCACATGACTTGCTAGAATCGCTCTGTTGGATATACCGTTTTGGGAGCGTGTGTCCTGGACAGAATCCTGGAAGAACGTTGCATTTGTCTTGTGACATAATGCTCGAAGTACACCAGTGCCAATACTAAGTCTTGTAATACCACGATAATAATAAGCTGGGGAGCTTACAATCTTGGTAGTAAGTTGTAGCGGTCACGGAGAAGGTACACAAAACGAACAAACAAGCAAACAAACAAACAGTTGAACTGAGTGGCGCACCGTGTTCTGCTTGATGAGAGATCAAGTGAGCACATTGTGACAACTCCACACAGACATGCCCATGAATACTCTCTGTCTATCATGATCCCTGGTCTATGGGCATCGTATACCTGGTATACATACAGGCTTGATCTTGGATAGGTAATCTGGTAATCAGGTAATGGTTGGCGGCTACAGGCCACAGTCGCCCCGGAAGCTCAGGTGATGCGGGAAGCCCGGAAGGTGTTACTTTCCGCGCTTTTCCTCGTGTAGATCTGATCTACCTAGTACAATGTAGATCTACTTGGCAGCTGGGTGTGATTTCGTCAACATCGTCAACATCGTCAAAGTGTGAACGGTGCCAACAAGGCCTGGAAACAAGATAACTAGCACCAGTGTGCCTTCAGTTACTTCAGCTTGAGCCGAGGAATGTCGAAGAACAACCCTGTCTCTTCACGCGTTCCAGCAAGAATAGAACTGATATTTGCGACAGTCCTTGCATTCGGGAACAGGCTATCCGCTAGCGGGAACTTCGACTAAGTACGTTAGGGTGATGTCTGCGCGGTCAATATTGCCTTCCAGCAACCAGCTGCAGCAGAAATGTAAGTCGCGAGTGTTTCGTGTGTTGAATTGTTCGCAGCGCTTTTCCCTGGCGAAACAGCACCGAGTGCTCCAGGACAGCGGTGTCTCGTCAACGGATTACTCAGTCAGTTAGATTTGACAAGCACCGGCATGCAACAATCTGTGACAACTCCTCGACCTCGTTGCCTGCTTTTGGTATCCATTATTTTGATGCTTGCTTGCATAGGTAGGTGTTGCTGTGCTCAGTCGGAGTCAGTGCTATGGCAAAACTATTGTGTCGGTCTGTTTGACATTTTCCTCTCAGTTTCTCCTGAAATGAACGTCAGTTGAAATGCAGAATTTCATGATCATGTTCCAATAGTTGACGCCAACGCCAAGACATGCAAGATCGGGTGATATTAGGCGAAGCTATGTTCTCTCAAACTTCGTACTTACGTAATTACGTGGGACGGAGAATAGACTTGCAGGTAAGCTTGCCAAATGTGCCTGTGTTCAGTGAAATGTGATCTGTTTTTGCCACAGAGGCTATCAACTTTGTCCCCCCCCCCCAACGAACCTTTTGAAAATGAAGTACTGTAGTAAGATCTACTATTAGTACTACCAAGTAATACCATTTGTATTGCGTGACTGATCTTTTCAATGTTCTAATCTTTCAAGTGACGTTTCCTTTTCTACCTGGACTCCTCCTTGGTTTCCCTTTTCTCTCTAGCTCTTCTCTTGTACCTTCTTGCTATTATACATTTAAATGTGGGGCTTTGAATAAAACAAGTCGAGTACAACTAATACTATTTTTAGTCTGTGTTGCTGATAACCCATCACAAAATACATATTGGTGGCTAGGGGTGCTCGCTAGATATACTTGCTAGGGATAGTTGCTAAAGATGGGGGGCTAGGTCTAGTCACTAGGTGTTTGTGACTCTTTAGGTGATGATGTGGACAAGGAAGAACATCCGAACATTGCCTGAAAGATAACACCGGCTAAAATTGCATGCTATCAGTTCAACTTCGATCAACGCCTTCAACGGCTTAGGGAAAGTTGCTAATGGGAAAATAACTATCAGTAAACGCTTATGCAGGAGACAAGCGGTGTAGTCAAAATTGAAGCTGACGTGGAAGTCATTATTCCACAACATAATCAGCACAAAAACAAATTACTTGAAGTATGCATATAGGACATGAATGTAGCTGGTATACGTAGTTTTAGGTTGGATATGAGAAATATAGGACTCTGCAGGTGCAGGATGCCTGTCATTGACCAAGTGAGCAGTGGTGTGGTGTGAAGGCCTTGCAAACCCACAGGGAAATTACATGGCACTCACTATACAGGGTAATAATTATGACATGTGGCTCTTGTGTGGTATTGCTGCTATGAAGTATGATGTCATCCATGGTACTTCTGTTGTGAAGTATGATGTCACTCATGGTACTGCTGCTATGAAGTATAATTTCATCCACTATACTACTGCTATAAAATTGAATGATGATGTCATCCATGGTATTTCTGTTGTGAAGTGTGATATCATCCCTCTAGGCTCTAGAACTAATGTTAGGAGAAATGCACATTCTATCATAATAGCAATTGCTGGTTTGATCAAGAAGTGTAGCTTGTATAGTTCTTTTTCATCATCTAAAATCGTAGATCTCAATTCGTACCATTGCTCTCTAAATGGCGTTAGCTACCTTGCTCTAAATATGGCCTCATTTCTGTGATTAGATCCTTTGCTGCAGGAAGTGCCTATCATCAAGTTGTGTGAAATCAGGTGAGATTTGGTGCTCAAGTAGCTTGGTTGTTCTGGCAGTACATGTACAGAAAATGCTGTACTACACATGCAGATAGGCAAGTGCAATACTCTACAGAGAGGCAAGTGCAATGCTCTACAGAGAGGCAATCTCCGTGTCTATACTAACAGTTCCCCTAGATCCGCTGACTGCTCTGTTGGCCATTGTCAAGGCATCGCTACCTGATGATGATGCAGACGTATCCAAATCAGCACAGCTTCCGTCGGGTGTACATGTAAATGCTGCAACCGTTGGTTCAGCTGCTGATATCGACACTGATTTCTTGTAAGACTTCATCTCGGTTGGTGTATACTGCTCTGTGTCGCCGTTCCTAGACAATGTAGAAGTGTGGGCTTGGCCATTGTCCTGCGGCCTGGTTACAGCGGGAAGTTCTATAGTACCCGTTCTGCTTGCAGGTGCAATGCTACCACCTGCTGCTGCTGAGTGCGTCATATGGTTATGGCTACGCGTTGCACTGATGTTGCGTAATGTTTGCCGGGCGTAGCGGAATCGCTGCTGCTCCATCTTACGAACTGCAGCAAAGCATAGGAGAACAGGAGACCATCACACCGTCAACTACTCACAGCCAGTGCTAGACATTTCACCTGCAGGCAAAGAAAACCAATTCCACTGTCTCGCATATGCTAGAACTGGCATGCCTATAATCAGGCGTACACTTGATCAAGACATCTGTACTGTGCCGAAAGGATGGGCATGACGGTAGTATACTACGAGAGCCACTAGGTGAATAGGGCCTCTAGGATGGGCATAACGGCAGTATACTACGAGAGCCACTAGGTGAATATGGCCTCTAGGATGGGCATAACGGCAGTATACTACGAGAGCCACTAGGTGAATATGGCCTCTAGGATGGGCATAACGGCAGTATACTACGAGAGCCACTAGGTGAATAGGGCCTCTAGGATGGGCATAACGGCAGTATACTACGAAAGCCACTAGGTGAATAGGGCCTCTAGGATGGGCATAACAGCAGTATACTACGAGAGCCATTAGGTGAATAGGGCCTCTAGGATGGGCATAACAGCAGTATACTACGAGAGCCATTAGGTGAATAGGGCCTCTAGGATGGGCATAACGGCAGTATACTACGAGAGCCACTAGGTGAATAGGGCCTCTAGGATGGGCATAACGGCAGTATACTACGAAAGCCACTAGGTGAATAGGGCCTCTAGGATGGGCATAACGGCAGTATACTACGAGAGCCATTAGGTGAATAGGGCCTCTAGGATGGGCATAACGGCAGTATACTACGAGAGCCACTAGGTGAATAGGGCCTCTAGGATGGGCATAACGGCAGTATACTACGAGAGCCACTAGGTGAATAGGGCCTCTAGGATGGGCATAACGGCAGTATACTACGAGAGCCACTAGGTGAATAGGGCCTCTAGGATGGGCATAACAGCAGTATACTACGAGAGCCACTAGGTGAATAGGGCCTCTAGGATGGGCATAACGGCAGTATACTACGAGAGGCACTAGGTGAATAGGGCATCTAGGATGGACAAGATGTTGTGTACTACATCAGTAAGCTAATGCTGAATCCCATCTCCTGTGTCCATGTGTGCAGTATTCACAGCCCTGGAATTAATAGTGGGCTGCAGTACGCACTTGAGATGATCCCCGCCCAAATATCTGTGCAAACTCATCTTCAAAGTATAAGCATGGGGGGGGGGAGGACAACCGTCCTTTCCCCATCATATCCAGCAATGAAGACCATAATAATAATAATATGGATTATTAGAGAGGTTGCGCACAACGCAAATTCGTAGCGCGGTATATTTTTAACTAAAAAAAGCTAACAAATATTCGTAACCGTGAGCTTGCGCACAACGCATGAACGTTTTCGTAGTGGGCGACGTGTCGGCCGTGCGGGTGCGAAGAGTCAAGACAGGGAGTTTTAGAATATCAGTATTTTAGTACTCCAGGTAACGAAAAATATTTTCGTAGATCTGCTCTGTTTCGGTCGCGTTTGGACGGATCTTCGGAGCAACTTTCGTTACTCGAACCCGGACGGTCGAAATCGAACGAATTTTCGTTGTGCGCTACCTCTCTATTGTCATCCAGATACCTTAGTCCAAGACGACCAGCTGTTGGCACTAGGCTTGCATTTGCAGCTTGCTGGCCATTCAGCTGCCTGACTGCTAGCTTGCATGCCCAGCTGGCTCGTCAGGATTAGAGTTTTAGGGGTATTCATCAGCAGTTGGCTGGCTGCAAGGATGACTGGACACCACTAACAGTCAGTGTACGCTATTGAGCTATCTGCCAACATGGTTGCCATGGGGATTGCCTGTCCACTGGCCAGTTGATTTTTAATAAATGAACCTGTGGATGACCATGTTGGTGTTGTTGTTCTCATCGCAATGAGTATGAGAGTCTGAATATGTCCGGTACAGATCTGCGCCTGCGTTTACTCAGATTCCATTGGCCATGCTGTGTTTACTAGTGATTGACTGGATGCAGCAACTCGCGGTGTGCTCAGACTGGCTAGATGTGATTATGGCGTTGTAGATACGTACTTAGAAATGTACTGATGACTGTACTAATGACTCCGTTGGTAGTATTAGCCAAAGTAGGATCCTCCTATGGGAAGCTCGCATTTGCCAATAGCTTTTGGCATCTGTTCAGTCTCACCCCTCCGGCCGGCATGGGCTATACAGTACTGACTCACTGCATTGCCACCTTGGGACCTGTGAGGTACTGACTCACAGTAGGGAGGTTTAGTCCCACGTAATCCGTGGGTACTTTACGTGGGTGTACCACGTGATACTCAGTGACCCACGTACAGACGTTTTCTGATTCACGACATGCCGTGTATGGAGGCTCACCCACGTTCCGCCAGAACGTGGGTGAAAATTAGAATGGAGCGCATTGTGCAAGCTGTGAGGGTGCTCAGCTGAAGAAGTTTCCGAAGCACGAAATCAAAATATTCGATGAGCTTCTTAGGCCCGGGTAGCTTCGTCTTTGACCAGGTTTGGGCCTTTCGCTTTATGCTTTTGTTTGTTCCGTGTGACTAAACACAACATTGCAACGTGGGTGCCCTTCATCCACTTTACGTGGATCACCCACGTACGCGTTTCCGTTACGTGGGAACTAAACCTCCCTATTGCCACCTTGGGACCTGTGAGGTACTGACTCACATTGCCACCTTGGGACCTGTGAGGTGTTTGTCATGCTGGAGACAAAACGGCACTGTAACCAAGTGCAAGTTTGTCTCTACTCCAGCTCAACTGATCGGGGAGGGGAAGAGTTCCCTGAAATACTGATTTTGAGCAGGGAGTGGAAATACTGTTGGGTTTTAGCACGGATTGGTGCTCTGTTGCATGCTTGCCAAGTGGAAGGGTCAACGGGTTCCTTGTGTGCTCCTGGCAGCAGTTGGATTGGTGCTCTGTTGCATGCTTGCCAAGTGGAAGGGTCAACGGGTTCCTTGTGTGCTCCTGTCAGCAGTTGTGAGTCGATCAAGTGTCATTTTCTGGCCCAGAGGCAGAACTCCATGTAACTTAGGAGCGACCAATTTCGCTTCGCCGATAGTTGCAACATATTCACCACTGCTACTTTATTCACATATAGCAGGGCCTGCTCTAGACATTCAACACAGCCCGGTCAGAGTGTACCTGGCGCATGCAGACCAGCCGGGTCAGATCATCCGGCAGAAAAACAACCAAAAAGCCTGCTCAAAACTTTCAACTGTGTCAAAAGCTATTGCCAAAGTAACTTACGCTTTTGACTGCCTGCCCCATCGACTTTCAATGTCCTGACTTCCTGCTCGCCGCTGGCCAGCTCGCGCTCGAACCAGTTGACCCCAGTTGACCCAAGCCGAGTTTCTGTCGCTTGTAGACTGTAGTGTGTACGGTTGCGCTAGATTTGCAACAGATGGGGTCCGCGAGTCGTAAAATACCGGTATTTTAGGAATCCATTGTCAGTTTGAGACATTTTTCAGCCGGGTCAGACTGGACCCGGTGTTATCTGTCCAGCCAGGTCGTGCAGTTCCCCAGCCGGGCGCGTGACCCGGCTATCCAGCAGGCCCTGATATAGCTGGAACATATCAAGTTCACAATGTTCGGCTCTATAATAATACGGTAGAATAATGACAAAATCTCAATCCAATGGACACTTTCCCTCCACAGTCACTTTTCAGCACCCTGGGCTAGCAATAAACTAAAATAGTAGTTCTCTATAAGTGAAATTATTCCATGTTCGGAATGTTGGCTACGGCATAGGCGTTTCTCTATACTTCATCTCCGACTGATTCGTTCTCAATAACTTCTAGTTCTATGGTGGGAGCATCTTCAGGTGTTAGAGGCCTCCGATTGCTTGCTTCCAACGTTGTAGTAGTAGCAACGTGTTGTGTCTGTGGGCTGATCTCCGTCATCCTGAAAAAATCCAGCTGCGGTTCAAAATCCAGCTTCTTCGATAGTGACTTCAAGTTGATAACGTTCAATCCGTTTAGCCGCTTGACTGCAAAGAACAGAAGAGAAAGATGTCAACAGTTGAGGTGAAATTATGTGCTGCATGGTTACCTTGTCAACTATTGAGGTGAAATTATGTGCTGCATGGTAACCTTGGCAACTGTTGATGTGCTACATGGTAACCATGGTGAAGCTAGACGTGAAAGGAATCGGGTGCCTAAGCTCTGGGTTACAATTTCTATGCCTCTCCATTTTGTGCCCGACTATTGCACGAAAAACGAAATGGAGAACATATACATCGGTGTGATTTTCTGAAATATTCCTAGTTCAGTAGGTGATGCAAATCTCTGTGAAACTATGTACATGTCCAGGGCTATACCTTCTGCCAGCATACAAGTAAATTGTCAACTCGGCTACATGCAGTATTGCTCAAGCCATTCTGGTTAGGCAATTAGTAAGTACAACTTTATGCACGGTGTGTTAGGGTTAGGGTTAAAGGAAAGTGAAGCAAATACAATGCAATGAGAAGTAAGACGAGGTGGATGGATGGGAAAGGAACTCAAAGCAATGCAAAAAAAGAAGGAACACAACGCGAAGGAAAAGTATAGAAGTAATGTTGAAGATGGAGGTAGGACCGTCCGAAAGAAAGGTTAAAAAGATAGTATATGCTTCGTGTGCCGCCCTACAACCGTACTGCTCCGCAGTTGCTTTTTAACCCTCCAGGGCGTCGGAACCGGTGCGGCAGGTCCGGCCTAAGCCGCACCAATAATGTCATCTTGTGACTTTTGAAGCAATGCGATATGGGCTATTTGGGCCCAATTCCCACAACATTTCCCGGGGGGGGGGGGACCTCCACCTACTCGTACTGCTGCGGCCGCACATAACTTCCGACGTCTCCGGTCCCTTACACCAACCCTAACCCCTAAGACAATGAAGTGTCTCACGTTGGACATGGTGCATCATGCCATGCCACTGTTGCACAACACATTCTCATGCAGTAGCAAAGAGACAGGCAAGAACACTGCATGATCAACACTCAGAATACATTAACATTTTCAGCAAATTATTAGCAGTTTAAAAGTCAGCATGATTAACTTTCAAGATTGGAATAACATGCAGCACTTCAATTCACAACTCACCGATCATCAGGTTATCAAGGCAGCAAAGGTTCTGCATTGTGCGGAAAAAGAAAATATGCTGTGACATACAGCTACAGAACTTGTGGATTCAAGACACCGTTGACTATCTCCATTTACTATCGGCTCGATGATGGGATGAGTGGGGAAGAACCCGAACAAATGCGCCAGTGTGCCCTCTTCTTGTGTGTAATACAGGTACGGATAGATAGTGGTACCGGTAGCGTAGATAAGAGCCGTAAAATCTGCAACGTACATCTCCTTATACGGTGAAAACATACATGACTGTTTTCCTCCAGCCGAGTCAGATAGCCCCTATTGGGCAGCAGATAAGCACACATGTTCGGGTTGTGTTACTATGGAAATGCCATCTGAAATTATAATTTGTTATGGTCTACATCTTGATGAGTCAATGCCCATTGTAATCCTCTCTCCAAGAATCTCCAATGGGCCTAAGCTCGTCACTATTTAAAATTTTATTGGCGAGACCGAACCAATTTTTTGGGGGGGGGGGGGGGGTTAGACATAATGGGCGGCAGCATGGCTATCCAAGAAGCTGTACATAGCCATAGTTGCCCAGGTCAAAATTTAGATTATTCATCTGTTATCACATTTCTCCATACATTGATTTTAACATTGAAATCTTCCGAAAAATTGTTCGCCTCTAAATTTATTAGAAAATTCTACATATTCATCACACTGTTAGGTATACATAAGATAGAGGGAGTTGAAAACAGGAAAATCACCAAAACTCGAACTAGCGACCCTCGCTTAAAAATTATCCGATTATCTAAAATGATCAGCAGTTAACAGTTTCAAAAAGTCCATGCTGATATACATGCTCGACATGGTGAAAATAGTCTAGATTACTTGCTGTATGTGTGAGAGAGATCGCCTTGCCTTGGGTGATACAAGTGTAAATCATTCCTGGATTTGATCGCCTTGCCTTGGGTGATACAAGTGTAAATCATTCCTGGATTTGATCGCCTTGCCTTGGGTGATACAAGTGTAAATCATTCCTGGATTTCACTTTTTACTGTGGTACTGCCCTCCAAAAGTAACCTTCCATCTGAAAATTACCCCAGCTGACAGAAAAAGAGACGCTTCATCGGGCCATGGAAGCTGGTAAGGATCTGGGTGGAATAAGCACCCCATTCCCGCAATTCTCTATACTGCATGCATGGAATATGCTTGTCACTTGTCACATGTCACAGGTCCAAAACATAATATCCACACCAGGAAACTATAGGGTGAGTCTCTGCCCCTACCCCCCCCCCCCCCCCCATTCCTCAGTCTCTGCCCCTACATTAAGATCGGGCGCCGAAGAACGCAGGGGCTCGAGCGCAGCCTAGGAAAGTTTTTTGATTCTAGCCAGACCGTTCTTATTCACACACGCGCGGCGAGTCGAGTGACGTCATGACGTTTGTCATGTACATGTACATGTACATGTAGTGCAATGTAGTACTTCTAAACTAGTGGGTGTCGTAAATGGGAATGACTGTACATGTAGCAGTTACTGTTTACACGTGTACATGACATGTACTCACCTCCCATACATGTACAATGTTCCAAATTTTAAAAGTGTTCTTAAATCTGATAATTCTAGCCTGGACTGTTCTTAAATTTTGCCGGTTTTCCAGCCTGGGTTTTCTTCGGCGAGGTGTTCTCCGGCGCCCGATCTTACTGTACCCCCCTACCCCCCCCCCCCCTACCCCATTCCTCAGTCTCTGCCCCTACCCCCCCCCCCCATTCCACAGTCTCTGCCCCTACCCCCCCCCCCCCCCCATTCCACAGTCTCTGCCCTTACCCCCCCCCCCCCATTCCTCAGTGTAAAGTGGAGAACTGAATGCACTTTTTTGGCGCTTTAGGTACACAGGCTGTAGAGTTATTCACACTAAGTGAGGAGAATGTGTTCATATCTAATGCTATACTAGATCAGTGTGAAGAAGAGGTTGGTGCGACTTCGGCAATACTTATACTAACTAGATCAGGTACTCACAAATCTTCTCCAGTCCAGTTCCGAATTTGGACATGTAGTTTAGGGCCACCAAGAACAGCAAAACCGTGTTGATATTGGCAATCATAGCTGCAGAAAAATAAGAAGAAAAGTACAAAAAACGGAGATTTCCAGGGAGTGCCGTAATTCTTAAGTTCACGTTGTCAAAATGTCTGTGCTGTGTATAGGTGTAGGTTGAGATGAGACACTTCTCAGGAGCTTGATTGGCTAGAGTTGAGACACTTCTCAGGAGCTTGATTGGCTAGAGTTGAGACACTTCTCAGGAGCTTGATTGGCTAGAGTTGAGACACTTCTCAGGAGCTTGATTGGCTAGAGTTGAGACACTTCTCAGGAGCTTGATTGGCTAGAGTTGAGACACTTCTCAGGAGCTTGATTGGCTAGAGTTGAGACACTTCTCAGGAGCTTGATTGGCTAGAGTTGAGACACTTCTCAGGAGCTTGATTGGCTAGAGTTGAGACACTTCTCAGGAGCTTGATTGGCTAGAGTTGAGACACTTCTCAGGAGCTGATTGGCCAGAAGTGAGACACTTCTCAGGAGCTTGATTGGCTGGAGTTGAGACACTTCTCAGGAGCTTGATTGGCCAGAGTTGAGACACTTCTCAGGAGCTTGATTGGCTAGAGTTGAGCACCTCATATATAGTGGCTGCAGCCATGACTACAATACAGGTGATTGGTAACGTGTCCAAAACCTTGGGTCAAGAGTAAAAGTGCCATTTTCAAATGCTAACTGACAGGCACACGATTGCAAGCGTGTACGCACACATACACGCGTACACACGTACATGATGCTACTTTGCCAGCTTACTGAATAGTGAGAGATGCTCAAATGTTAGGTTATCGTTCGGCGGAGCAGTTGTTGGTACAGATGAGATCAACATCAAGGGACACACGTTGCTTTTCATTTGTTGGCAGAGTCGACAACTCTTCGTCACAAATCTGGAGAAATACAACAGGACAATTGAGCGTCTCTGTACATGGTATTGCGAATGTATCAGTGGGCCTCTCTATAGACTACGGTGCATATTATTGGTACCAGAATGTAGTGGGGGTCTAACAGATCCCACGAATCACAACCTGCCATCGAGGCCGATCATGTGCCATGGCAAGCATACTAGTATTGATCACTGGTTGCAGTGGTGCTTCGGCTGTGACAGTCTCTACGCAACGCACCACTATGATATCAAATTGATGGTCTCTACAACACACTAAACCCGTGACTACAGTTGGTGGTAAAGGAGCCACGGAGCAAGCACCACACACAGTTGAATACATGGCACAAACTGTGTTCGGGATAATCTGCAACCGACGGGGTATAGGAACTGCAGAGCAGTACGGTTGTAGGGCGGCACGACAAGCAAATGCAATACAATGAGAAGTAAGATGAGGCGAAGGGATGGGAAAGGAACTCAAAGCAATGCAAAAAAGAAGGAACACAAGGTGAGGGAAAGTAGTGGAGTGATGTTGATGGTGGAGGTTTAAAAGCTTTTTTTGCCCAAGGTCGGTTCATCAGACTAATGGCCAGAATTATGAGGAACAGTCCATTTTATAGGGTAGGGATGTTAGAAAGGACATGATGTGTGGAACTTTAGAAGTGTTTACGGCTAAGGTGGCTGGAAAGGCTCTTCACCTTCCTCCATGCAATAAACGGTGCTGGGTTTATTCGAGTATTGGCATAAACCCTCTAGGCGAAACAAGCTTGTGACCAAACTCTTGGACAGTCCTACCTCCACCTTCAACATTATTTCACTACTTTTTCCTCGCCGCGTGTTCTATTTTTCTTGCATTGTTTTGAGTTCCTTTTCCTTCCATGTAGAGGAGACTGTTTAAAATTGGAAAAAGGTTGCAAACCGGAACGGGCTCAATATCCGCTTTCTCTCTTGGTATTTCGATTAGAAAACATAATATGTCACAGTGAGACTATGATGTGTTTTACTTCGAGCCAAAACCTTCATGGCTCTGTGATGACCAGAAGCGCCATACCAAGCAGGTGAGTTTTTGACGTGTTGCTTCGCACTGTGACTTGAGTTTTACGCCTTTCGAAAAATCAACTTCTTGTTGCAGGTAAACAACGACTCGCTTCTCGCCAGTAAAGCACCTTATACCAATAAAAACTAATGGAAGCACACACAAGGCTTATTGTTACTCTGTACTGGACGTCGTGGAGCCATAGCAATTACATGTACCTAATTTCAGAACTCAGACTGAAATTGACGTGCACTCAGAATCTAAAACCTTTCCGGTTTGGAGCCACCTCTGATTTGAATTGAAAAATTGGGCAACTTGGGAGCAATGGGCCAACATAAAGGAGTGGCTCAGTTTGATTGACTCTGGCCCCAGAGCAAACTTCAACATGCCAGTTTCCTTCCACAAACATATTTTGAGTGAACAATCCACGCTGATGATCGGTTTGGGTCTATACAAATTTGGCTGTCAACCCGTTCCGATATCGAACCGTCCCCTCTACATCATCTCACTTCTCATTGTATTGCATTTGCTTGTCGTGCCGCCCTACAACCGTACTGCTCCGCAGTTCCTATACCCCGTCGATTGCAGATTATCCCGAACACAATTCGTGCCATGTATTCAACTGTGTGTGCGGTTTTCTCATACGAAAAGTAGCATTTCAGTCATACCGGTGGCAATAATAATGACGACGATCACGGCGACAACAACAGCTATTACTACTGCTACTACAAAAACTGAGAAGAAGTGTGGAGGCTTCCTGCAGTTTCATAATAGATACAATTGGGTGAACTCACCCATTCCACAATACTCTGCAAATTTCCGAACCATTCCATTATATACAACGTTTCGGCCAATGGCCTTCTGCAGGTAGTCAATGATTGAATTGAGTTCACCCAATTGTATCTACTACAAAAAACTATGACAACTATGTGGTCGCCAACGACGACAACAACAGCAACGACAAGAACAACAAAGTTGAACAAACACAATCTGAGTCGATGAGTGTCCTACCTGAAGAACTTGAATGAGTAGTATCCCAGCATGGCTAGCAGAATGAGCAGAAAGATGACCATGATGACTTTGTTCTCACGGCGCACCTATCCGCCAGGGAATACCATCACCACACAAGAACACCAGACACACCAGACACACCAGACACACACACACACACACACACACACGCACACACGCACACACGCACACACACACACACGCACACACACACACACACACGCACACACGCGCACACACACACACACATGCACACACACACACACACACACACACACACAAGAACACCAGACACACACACACACACACACACACACACACACACACACACACACACACACACACACACACACACATGTACAGTAAGTTGCAGCAACAAAACTAACACTGTATTCTACAGACGATGGTAGAACCGCATCACTACGATAACTACCATGTGTTGCCCAGGAAAGAGGCGTTATCTACAAAAACATTCACATGCGTGCAGAAACAGGGTTGCCAGTTCCGTTCAATGGCCTCACCCTCTGCGAGCGAGATTTGCAACTGATGCGTGTATTAAGGAAAAGGACATAAGGATACGAGTTAAGAGTAACTCTCCATCACTGTAACTGAATACTATATACAGTCAGAAAGTGCAATAACTAGGCACAAAACTGACAAGAGTACTGAGACATTCGACGTCCTGACACCTAGCTTCAACACATCTCCGTAGCGCTAACCGTTACAGTGATGGAGAGTTACTCTTAACTCGTATCCTTATGTCCTTTTCCTTTCTACATTTATTTATGGCTCAACATCCGAGTTTCAAGATGCGTGTATTGTTCAGGTAATGAAAATCCCGGTGTTACCACTGAGCAGAAGTTATCAATGCTGCTCAAATGCTGCTCAAATGCTGCTCAAATGCAAGTCTTAAAAGGGATACTGTATAGCAGGAAATTTTCGGACGATTTCGTACACGGCCTCTTTTGTACTAAAATTAATTCCGTACTAAAATTTGTTCATGTCAAATTATGTACACTATACATGCGTACTGCTTGCGAACACGTGCATTCAGTATGCAGCATTGCACGAAAACAAAATCCGTACAAAAGGTCGAATTTCGGCTTTGTCCGAAAATATTTCCGTCCGAAAATTTCCTGCTATACAGACAGAGGATAAAAAGGCCGTCCAACGGCAGGTTCCAGTATCTGTAGACTTTCCTGCATATATACACACAAAATACAGTAGCACGGGACATTGTGGCATTTGTGTGCTTACCGCTAAGTAGACGACGATGGTAACGACAATAGCCAAGACCATAGCGACTATGCTGGCAACAAACTCTGGGTCGTTCATGTCATCACGCAGCAACAAGGTCACATGACTAAGTAAGAACATTTCCTGTAACACGGACACGGACACACACACACACACACACACACACGTACACACACATACACACACGTACATGTACATATACCCACATGCAAACACACGCGCAAACGTACACACAAGTACACACATACGCACACATGTGTTGATCAGTACAACAATGCTTACTGATGAGCGTTGTGCGAAAGCTAGTTCCAGGCAATTTTTAACGTTCCTCTTATTGTTCTTCACATTATATTTCCATCATAGTTCCCCCTTTGTTCATCACCACTTTCTCTGACATTTGTTCATGACAAAACTCAATAAAGCCTTCGTATGTCCACTCAGCTGGTTCTGTTTGTTGCGATCCTTTACAGTCGACTTTCAGTGTGCGTCGATTTGAAACTGGTAATTCCTTTCTTCCAGTGCATCCACAGCGGAACCTGCAGCTCATTGCAGCAATTTTCACCAGGTGGAGCATTACCAGTGAGAGCGAGTCCAATATGATGCACATATATCACCGAGAGTGTGGTGCATGAATGACCGTGACAAGTGTGCAAGACACGCGTTGGCACAGAGAGTGTGGTACATGAATGACCGTGAGAAGTGTGCAAGACACGCGTTGGCACCGCTTACCGTAAAGAAAAACTCCAGTTTCAAGAAACAAGTGAAAATCTGATACGTACGAAATGCACCTGTTGAAAGGGGAAACAGAAAACAGGGAATCACGTGACTTTAAAGTCATGTTACTAATCTGTCCTTTAACTATCCTCAGTCCAGGTCTTCACCAGCTAGGCAATCCAACCTCATCATCAATACACATTGTCACAGTCTACATGATGCACTAAAAGGTATGTCTACTTGTCACCCATGTAAAGCACAGCATAACGAAGTTCTAAACGACTCAGGACAGTTTTAAACAGACTACCATACATACGTCATGTACACCCAGTGTGTATGTGGTCAGTCACGTGACCAAGGGGAATACCCTGTACCCATGTATGGTGACGTGACATACCTCTTAACTTTGCTTCTGCCTTGAAAGGCACTGTGGTGTAGATTTTCCAGCCAAACTCAATATACAAATGATACGTTGTGTACAAATAGAAGATCATCATTACTGTTGAGAGAATTGCCTGCAACAGCAACCACGTGTACGAACACACATGCACAAACAAGCCATGCAAACACATGCACAAACACAATGTCATACACACAAGCACACATGTGGTGGTATGTGAATTCGTAACAAGCAACCAAAGATCTACACAGATCTACACAGATCTCTCTACACTGATCTCTCTACACTGATCTCTCTACACTGATCTCTCTACACTGATCTCTCTACACTGATCTCTCTACACTGATCTCTCTACACTGATCTCTCTACACTGATCTACACTGATCTACACTGATCTACACTGATCTACACTGATCTACACTGATCTACACTGATCTACACTGATCTACACTGATCTACACTGATCTACACTGATCTACACTGATCTACACTGATCTACACTGATCTACACTGATCTACACTGATCTACACGGATCTACACGGATCTACACGGATCTACACGGATCTACACGGATCTACACGGATCTACACGGATCTACACGGATCTACACGGATCTACACGGATCTACACGGATCTACACGGATCTACACGGATCTACACGGATCTACACGGATCTACACGGATCTACACGGATCTACACGGATCTACACGGATCTACACGGATCTACACGGATCTACACGGATCTACACGGATCTACACGGATCTACACGGATCTACACGGATCTACACGGATCTACACGGATCTACACGGATCTACACGGATCTACACGGATCTACACGGATCTACACGGATCTACACGGATCTACACGGATCTACACGGATCTACACGGATCTACACGGATCTACACGGATCTACACGGATCTACACGGATCTACACGGATCTACACGGATCTACACGGATCTACACGGATCTACACGGATCTACACGGATCTACACGGATCTACACGGATCTACACGGATCTACACGGATCTACACGGATCTACACGGATCTACACGGATCTACACGGATCTACACGGATCTACACGGATCTACACGGATCTACACGGATCTACACGGATCTACACGGATCTACACGGATCTACACGGATCTACACGGATCTACACGGATCTACACGGATCTACACGGATCTACACGGATCTACACGGATCTACACGGATCTACACGGATCTACACGGATCTACACGGATCTACACGGATCTACACGGATCTACACGGATCTACACGGATCTACACGGATCTACACGGATCTACACGGATCTACACGGATCTACACGGATCTACACGGATCTACACGGATCTACACGGATCTACACGGATCTACACGGATCTACACGGATCTACACGGATCTACACGGATCTACACGGATCTACACGGATCTACACGGATCTACACGGATCTACACGGATCTACACGGATCTACACGGATCTACACGGATCTACACGGATCTACACGGATCTACACGGATCTACACGGATCTACACGGATCTACACGGATCTACACGGATCTACACGGATCTACACGGATCTACACGGATCTACACGGATCTACACGGATCTACACGGATCTACACGGATCTACACGGATCTACACGGATCTACACGGATCTACACGGATCTACACGGATCTACACGGATCTACACGGATCTACACGGATCTACACGGATCTACACGGATCTACACGGATCTACACGGATCTACACGGATCTACACGGATCTACACGGATCTACACGGATCTACACGGATCTACACGGATCTACACGGATCTACACGGATCTACACGGATCTACACGGATCTACACGGATCTACACGGATCTACACGGATCTACACGGATCTACACGGATCTACACGGATCTACACGGATCTACACGGATCTACACGGATCTACACGGATCTACACGGATCTACACGGATCTACACGGATCTACACGGATCTACACGGATCTACACGGATCTACACGGATCTACACGGATCTACACGGATCTACACGGATCTACACGGATCTACTCGGATCTACTCGGATCTACTCGGATCTACTCGGATCTACTCGGATCTACTCGGATCTACTCGGATCTACTCGGATCTACTCGGATCTACTCGGATCTACTCGGATCTACTCGGATCTACTCGGATCTACTCGGATCTACTCGGATCTACTCGGATCTACTCGGATCTACTCGGATCTACTCGGATCTACTCGGATCTACTCGGATCTACTCGGATCTACTCGGATCTACTCGGATCTACTCGGATCTACTCGGATCTACTCGGATCTACTCGGATCTACTCGGATCTACTCGGATCTACTCGGATCTACTCGGATCTACTCGGATCTACTCGGATCTACTCGGATCTACTCGGATCTACTCGGATCTACTCGGATCTACTCGGATCTACTCGGATCTACTCGGATCTACTCGGATCTACTCGGATCTACTCGGATCTACTCGGATCTACTCGGATCTACTCGGATCTACTCGGATCTACTCGGATCTACTCGGATCTACTCGGATCTACTCGGATCTACTCGGATCTACTCGGATCTACTCGGATCTACTCGGATCTACTCGGATCTACTCGGATCTACTCGGATCTACTCGGATCTACTCGGATCTACTCGGATCTACTCGGATCTACTCGGATCTACTCGGATCTACTCGGATCTGTCGCGTCCCCGGCTCAGAGTGACCGGACCCCGAATCACTACGAGCGGCGACTGAATATAGACGTGTGGCCTCACGACAAGCCCAACACAACCCAGGGGCCAACCAATATAGCTGGCTTGGTCCAAGTTCAACCCCACACGATCAACAGACAAAGACTGTTAGTTTTACGTTGTGAGTAGTATCAAATCCGAGCTCAAAGTAAACGAAGACAGAGAGCTGAGACCGAGTCTCGACTGCTAGACTAGACTAGACTAGACTAGACTAAAACTGAAGTAAAAGAGAGAATGAGAGCTTCTTTTATAGGGTGCTTCAGAGGTATATGGCGTGATCGTTGCGAGGTAATTCCAGGAAATAGCAGAACAAGTCAAACCGGAATGTGCGCAGCCAGTCAGCAGAAATGCAGAATATACGTACGGTGATCATTCGAGAAGAAAGAGAAAGAAAGACATCGAGAGAAGAAATACCAAATTGGGACGTGGGGAGCCCGCTCACCCACGTCAGAGTACAATGTGAGTATATGAGGGTCACGTTGGGGAGCCCGCTCACCCAACGTGCCATAGTTCAGCGGCTTCTTATGGTAAGTTAGTTCTGCTGCATTCTTGGTCTTGCTTGCGTGATACTCTGACCTCTTGCGCGGTGACGGTTTTGGTTCTTGCACACGTCTCCTGTCTTGCACTTAGCTCTTGTTATACAATGTCATAATCAGTCTTGGCTCTTTGCACGAAGCACCGAGGCATCGTGGAAACCTGTAGAACGTCGTAGTGACGTGGTTTTGCACAAAGCCTGGAGTCACATTTCCAGGAAGTGAAGAACTTCTAGGAAACGTACAACGCGAGAACCTACCTGACCAGGTTCCGGCCTTGGATCCCATAACGTGTCATGCCAAGAAGGCATGTCACCTACGTGGGAAAGCGCGTGTCGCTCAACCTACATGCTAAGCACGTGGGACAAGACACTGGCCAAACCACATTGTACCAAAAGGGCGTGACAGCTCAGCACAGAGCTACTCACTAGGTAGATCCTGCTATCACAGGACTATCAGGCAGCAGTTGTCTTATTCTGGGACGTGACATTTCCCCCGCCGTTGAAGAATCACGTCCCCGTGACTATCCTCGACCGATATGGTAGTCGGTGAGATACCGCGACGTTGCCAGTGTCATCCACCAGGCTCCGCGACGGATACAAGAGGTAAGTCAACTGGAGATGCAGGATGCAAGTCCAATCCACCACAGGTTTTGGTGCGAACACCATGTCATCAGCCTAATACAGCATATCACTCGTATCGGGCTCATACGACTGAACAATATCACTGACTGCTCACGAGAAAATACAATTCCTCGCCAGGTGCCAGGCACATAAAGCATTCACTCAATCCGATGGTGCTACACAGTTGTGAAACCAGATCGGTAAAGAGCTCGTAGTAAAATCCATCCGGTAACGAGCAAATTGGGACCTCACTCGCAACAACTCATCATCCCCAGATGAGTCTCGCCTACCAGGCTCCTCGACACAGGGCGTCCCCTGATCAGCCAACACTGTGCTCGTGGGATCCAGATCCAAATCATCCTCTCCCACCACAGCCTTTCCACTTCAGTTCTAGGACCTCGTCCTATATGAAGCGCAGACCATACTTCTTCGGCCCCAGGAATCCCATCCTGGCCTGTATGGTCACCACCGTCCCCTTCTCCGTTACTCACTATGCAAGCTCATCACCACCAACCGAAATTGGCTACAACTGACCGATCCGGGCGCCTCATCCACAGAGACCAACTGACTCCTCTGAGCCGTACACAACCCGAACCGGTGCACAGTTCAGTCATTTGTTGAGGATGCAAAGGCACCCATCAACATCACACTTTCACAGGATACAGTTCCTTCTTCAGGAAACTGGTCAACTTTCACCAAGGACAAGGACCGCGGCGAGTAACGAGTATACACTCCAGCACATACTAGTAGGTCATGTACTGTTCGGCCATCCTCTCCACAAACTTTTTTTTCTTCACAAACAGAACGTCTGGAGACTGAAGATCGACAACAAGGTCAGAACTCCCATCCTCGCGACTGACATGATCATCAAGAACATTCGCAGATAAAACTGCGTCCTCCAGCACCAAAGCTGGGCGTCACACAAAACTTCGTCTGGTGCATCGACACACAGAACGAGATTGCATTCGTCCACAACCAACGACGTGGTCTGCATCCTCCCATCGTTTCAGCCATGAAACAACCGGGTCTTCAAACAGCACTCGCGACTGAGAACAAACTGAGTTCGAATGTCAGTAAGGCCTCATCGTTGAAGAGACGACTTGTCAAGCTTCAAGAGCTTCAAGCGGTCTCAACAAACACCATGTCCGAACAGTGGCGTTTTCTTGTCGAA